TTACTAATGCACATTTTGATACATGATTTATACAAATAAAAGTTAAACTTTACCTGTGGAAGAGAGAAATAACACTCTTTTTACACAGCATAAAATATCCAACCCAATTATGTTTAGCTTAGACCTAATAATGTGATTGTGGCTCAGTGTTTTGGAAACAGAAATCGCCTCGGAAAATATCCAGATGTCCACACCTCATAGATTATACGATGTTCCATTACTATTACTTTTACCATTAAGAATAGTTGCGCTGCACCCAGATAATTTTGATCTGTTTCTGCTAACAAAACTATCATATATATAACCAAAATGACATTTTCTTCAGCGAATTATTCAATTTTTCGCTGAAGAAAATGTCATTTTGGTTATATATATGATAGTGGAGAACACGAATCTCCTCGATTAAAAAGTCTTAATTTCAATTGACGAATAGATATCAGGTCCGTACCTCAAGGGGGGAAAGAGAGAAAGAGAGAGGAATTGGTGGAAACAAGGATATATCAATATAGATTTCTGTAACAGATTGGGAACCAGAAATTAACAAACGACGAAAAATTTGTACTTTTTTTTTCAAATGGAAGTTTATTAGTAAGATTAAAAGAAGGGCTATTGCTTATGACGTCATAATAACGTTACTTCACAATAACGTTACTTCATAATTAGTCTTGACAATTTCACTGAAATTCCAAGACGCATTTTTGCATACTTCTGCAAATCTTTCAAGTTTTTCAGCATTTAACCTGTACAGAGTGTTTATCTACTGGTAAAACTTGGTAAGTTAGAGCTATTTTTCAATAATTAACAACTTTTAATCAACTTAAAGCATGATCGAAGTAATTGTTTTTCTGTAATCTGAAATCGAAATTGATGAATGCATTTGATTATTCCTTGGGTGTTTTTTTTTCAGACATGATGAATATGAGCAATATTCAGGATAAATTGGTGAAGCATGGGTGGTTTAAGAAACCACTTGGAATAGCAGCTCCCGTTGTTCAAAACGGAACAGCTACTTCTAGTCCTTATGCTTCGCCTACAATTCCAAAGATTGACGGGGGCGTGAAATTGGATCTTGGTGGCAAAGAAACCAACGATCAGGCTACTAATGACATCACAGCTGCACTTGATCTACTAGCACCCAAGGAACAAGCTTTCCAGCCCACTAAGCGTCGAGGTAAGACACTGTGTATTTTCGGCTTTCCCTACACCAAGAATGTAGTTCCAACGGAAGCTGCAATCGATCGTCATTGGAACTTTATTGTGTTTCATTTTCATCGTAAATGATACAAAAACGATGAACCAATACAAATGTAATTCATACAATGACATACCAGTGTCGGGGCATTAAAACCGAATTAGCAGGAAAGAAATATTGAAGTAAAATTGAAGCCATAATCAATGACGGATATTGACCAATATTATAGTTTAAAGGCTGTGTTCAAATTAGCGATTGTTCACCAATATATCATTGTGTTTCAGGTATTTTTAGTAAGAGAACCATTCAAGATGGCTTATTGAAGGTTGGGTGGAGTAAAAAGAATGATGAAGTCGTCATCTATGGTCTACCATCCATTGATAAGGTTGAGCCAGTTACTGAAGGCACTACCAACCTTGATTTGTGGCATAATAATTACCATGATGGTAAATTAAATGAATTACCTGAAATGAAATGTGCAGTAGCCGATGATGTAGCAGGGATATTGGAGTGGATACAAAGAAAGGAGGAGGCTGTTTCGCCAAGAATACGGCAACAAGGTAATTGATAGAATTCTAAAATTAAACCCCAAAGAATCTCCTCTCCCCATATTTTTGTCCAAAACGCTATGACTTTAACAAAGCCTCTGATAGCTATCGATATACAGACTACCTCTTCTGATTGACCTATGTTGATATAATCGATCAAATGGAATCACCAAATTTAGAACTAATATTAGTCATGCTAATACTGTGACTGCTATGCTTAGTATCGTAAGCTTAAGCTTAAGCAGCAATATATATTATTTTAGGAATGGTTGACAAAGCAGAGCTTCAAAAGAATCTGCTGTCCAAAGGCTGGTATCCTGCCACCGGTAATTTGGATGTTAAATCCGATCCAGATGTAACTCTCATGGGGGAACATCCTACATCTCCAATGGCTACTAACATCGACATTGGTCCGCATGACATCCCTAAACTTGATGATGATATGAACGGCAAACCCGAGGTCGTTGAACATATATTGAATATGGTTTCAATAAAGAAACGATTAAGTCGTCCAGTCAAACATCGAGGTAAGAACTAGGGTTGGTTTGATATATTTTTAGAAATCGAAAAGAAACGTCAATGGTAGATTAGATTAGAATAGAAGACAAGTACATGTAAATACAATTCCATCCAGAAACACAGTGACCATCATCAGTTTTGTACATTTCAAACTTTAATATTCAATCAAGCAGATTTGAATAGTACAAGAATTCTTCGGCGTATAGGAATATTTTCCAATGTCTTTCAATGCAGTTCCAGTCGGTCTGGTGACTATTTACAGAATTACCCTTTACAAAAATTTGTATTTTGTTTGAAATTTGTTAATCATCCATGTAATTAAAATAACAACTGGAGTCTTCCATTTTCCAGGAGCAGTGAATAAAATCGAACTACAGGAACATCTTCTAGAAAAAGGCTGGTATAGAAAGACTAACAATTGCCCCTCAAAATCAGATGAAGATATAAGTGTTAAACTCAATCCTGATAGTTTACAGGAAGAACACTTTGCTGATCCTGAAGGAAAACAGGCTGAGAAGAAGGAAAACATTATCTGTTCAGAAGGAGAAAAAGATGAAAGGAACAAACACATTGATCATAACTACAATATTGCTGATCAAGAAGGAATGTCTGTCGGTGATATTGACCATATTGCTGAACAAAAAGCAACATCTACCAATACTAATGACATCAATTCTAATATAGAGGGTACATCTGCTAGTGATATTGATATCAAAGTAACAAACACAACTGACAAAGAGAGTTCTCCTGATCCAGAGCGTAAATCAGTCGATATCAAAGATAATAATGCTCCAAAACAGCTGACGAATTTTTCAGAAGGAGAATTTGATAGATTTGGAGACAGAATAAAGAAACTTCCAGAAGCTCTGCCAAATCCATCAAACAACAAAACTACTCCAGTTGATAAACCTGCTGAGATAAGTGAGAACAATGGTAATTTCTTCTTTTTTTAGTTGTTTTGTTTTTGTTTTGCCTAAAATTGCAATGCCCAAGAAGAACACTGCTATAACGATTTGACAGTACATGTATAGTAATGTACAAAGTCTAGTTTTAAACCATTTTGTTTACTCATAACTTATGATTATTATTTTCAGAGACAGCTACCAAAACTACCACAGTTGATAAACCCAAAGAGAACACTGGTAATATCTTGATTGAAGGTCAAAGAAAGAGGCAAAACAAATCAGAAAGTAAATATCAAGGTATGCTATTGATAATCAAAGCATGTTTTACTTCAATTGATCATTATACTGTTGTTTTTTACCAAAATGCAATGCCACCTGACGTTTTAGAACACCGCTATGATGATTTGACAGCACGTGTATAGTAATGTACAAAGTCTTGTTTCCGGCTCTATTTGTGACAACCAAATACTGCTTGTTTCTTACATCAAATAATTTACTCATAATTTTATTTTCAGGTAAAAAGTCTAAGAAATCGAAGCCTCATGAAAAAGAAATTCATAATTTGTTACAAGAAGGTTGGACAATGGTGAACCGTTCTCGATACCAAGTAACAATGGTCAAGCTGCCAGAAAGAGAACCTCCAAAGACTTCCATCACTGAATCATTGGCCACAAGTGATGGAACTAAAAAAATCGAGATGCAAACAACAAATATGCAGCCTGAAAATTCTGATGTAGAAACTAACGTTACTGGTGGGTATATATATTATTGTATACGTGCATCTTTACTTTTGCTTTTCTCGTGTTCACATGTTTTACATGTTGGTAAGCTGAAACACTCTTCTTTTTCTGAGTTTCGACATACCTGACTTTTTGGAGCATGCATTGGCCGATATTTTCTACCTTGGTTTCAAAAATCACAACGCTTCTTTGTAGTTATTTTGTTTCTTTCATTTATGTCCAGAAAATCATTAAAAGTAGAAACAATACCATTTGGCTCATTCGGCAATCCTCGACATTTTCTGCATAGCTGAATGTTGCAGAGCTCTAGCTTAATTTTCGCGATAGACCGTTTGCTTTCGACTATCAAAGGACACGAAGGATGGCTTGCCATTTTTGCCATATCGTCAACATTTTAACATATTGTTTTCATCGTCTTATTTTACAGATCCCTCCAACAATAGGACACCTCTTCGTAGATTCTTACGAAGATCTAGAAAAATGTTGAGAAGAATGTTCAAATGTGGAAGGAGCGAAGAGTAAAAAAGCTGTAGATTCTCATAACGGATTTGTATGGTGCTCATATCATTTGGATGTAAAGGCGTCAACGACCCTTTCATATATCTTTATTTTTATATTATATGATAAATTATTATTATTTAAAACTTGTATATTTCGTACATATTTTGTAAAGATATATATATATAATATACAATAAAATTGTGCCACAACTAAACTTCCTTAATTATCAAATCCCTTCACTACACCACTTGCGGATCACTTGTCATAATGCTGGATAACATGGGGAACTGGTGTAAAAAAAAACATAGAGCAGTAAGTACAACTTCCGCATAATCGTAAATATAGAGCCACCCCTTACCTCTATAAAATGTTGATTCATAATGACAAGTTATTACGAACTCTGTCTCATAACTTGACATCACTAGACACTTTTCTTGTGTGACGGAAGTCTGAAAATGCAATGATTCGATTGAAACCGTTAGTCACATAAAACATAATCGATTTAATCGTTTTCATTTCCGTGTTTAGACCAACCCAGACGCTTACCAATAAATACTTCAAAACGAAAGAGCTATTCTAAGAAACCGGAAACAGCGTGACTTTATTTCTTTGAAATTTGTAACAGATAACAGGTTTATGTTATCAAAGGTGTACAGACGATCATTTCAATTATTTTCCGTTCAGTTTGAAAATTTTGCAAACAGCAGAATAGTTAAAATGTCTACATCCACTGGAAACAAATCCGAACGGCTCATCTGGATAGATTTGGAGGTTTGTTACGCTTTTTGTAATCATCCTAAAGTAAACAAACCGAAAGTAGAAATAGAAGACAGTCAAGTTTTCAGTGATAAATAATTGAGCTATTGTAATCATAAAAAATGGACACAACACAACTGTGCTTATTTATATCAAGTAATTCGTTTTCTGAATCAATGCAAAAGCACAATCTTTCTATTTTATGAGGATATTGTTTTAATAATGTAAATCATTGGTTTTCAACCACAGGGACATTGGGTTGGCACATTCCTTTGGGGGAATTACACAGCTTTGGCTGACATTGTCTCTGAGTAGGCCTACTTGGAGAATTATTTACAGCATTTTGTACTCATACTACCCTAGACTGTGTGTGGTCTCCAATCCTAGTTTCACTTTCGATATCTGAGGACATGGTTTACATGAAATATGATTTGGGGACACAAAATCAGGTTAAAAACCACAGATGTAAAGAAACGTAAGATTTATTGGTATTGTAGATGTCTGGTTTAGATATAGAGAAAGAAAGAATAATAGAAATAGCAGCCATTGTGACAGATGCTGATCTTAATGTCATTGCTGAGGTTTGTCTTTCTTTTATTTTTTCACTGTCCCCTAGCTCGCCTTGTGTAAAAGAAGACACTCTTCTATAGAAGCATTGGCTGAAGCCACAAATGAGAACATAGATTGTACATTAGAAGTTAGAAAGATATGGTTATACAATATTGTTTAAACTTTGTTTGGAGAAATGGAAAGTGAGAAATTGTTATGGCTGAAGTTCTATAGGGTTGCAAATGATATGAAAACTAACATTATGTTCATAAAATTGTTTCAGTGTTACAGGTCTGACCTTCCTGAAACTGAACGACTTAAACTTTTGAATTAGAAAGGTAAAGATAGGGTTTTTATTTTGTAGGGACCAAATATAATCATTCATCAAGACCAGTCATTAATGGATAGCATGGGAAAATGGTGTAAAGATCACCATGGAGCAGTAAGTACAACTACGGTATAACTGTGAATATAGTGCGCAAGCATATGCTCTTTATCCCCACCTTACCTCAATAACATTTTGAATTTATATAGTATGTTTAATTACAGGAAACTTGTTAAATTAAATCAAGAATTAGCTGGAAATTCAAAATCTTCAAAAACTTTTTATTGTTTCAGGAATGTTTTTGTACATTAAATATCCAAGTAATCATTAGGTGCTATTACACATATCTATTTAAAAACCAAAAATTTCTTTTTTTTCAGTCAGGACTAACAAAGTCTGTATTGGAGAGTAAAATTAGTGAAAGTGATGCAGAAAATAAAGTTTTAGACTTTTTAAAAGAACACACAGATGCTGGAAAATGTCCTTTAGCAGGGAACTCAATTGCTTGTGATAAGATGTTCTTAATGAAATACATGCCTAATTTAACCAAACATTTTCACTATAGGCTAGTAGATGTTAGTACTATCAAAGAACTATGCAGGTAAAATTATGGCTTTTCATCATTAAAGATTTCAAGAATTGTGAGAATTGAACTTGAAATGCTTAGAGATATGGTTTATGTCATCAGCAAGTATCCAATTGTATCAGCATATTTAAATATTAAAGTTTTTTATAATTGATACAAAATCTTGTACTTTTCCCATCTTCCACATAAAATATTTGCAGTTAGATTTCAACTAGATTTATTTTTGAGAATGTACAATAGCTTATAATTTATTTCTACAATATTTTACTTGTTTAAAGGAGGTGGTATAAACAAGTTTATGATGATTCTCCTCCGAAGTCCCTGAAACACAGGTTTGTATGAAAAAAATATTCACATATTCAAATCAGTCTAGTTGCTTACCAGTCATAATGACAGCTTGTAAATGCAGCAATTTGATTGGATTCTACAAAAGCGAATACAGCCAATCATAGTCCACTATTACTCTCAGCCAAATTGTTTACAGTCTTTCCTTCTATGTCTCTGATTGGTTGTATTCACTTGTGTACAATTCAATCAAAATCATTTACACTGTGTGTGTGATACAAGAAAGGTGGCTATTAGAGTCGATGTATAAGTTCGTAACAGCTTGACATTGTGAAGATGGAAGGTTACTAGACCTTTTATCCTCAAATGTGTATCTAACTGCATTTTATTGAAATATTGATAGATCATGCCACATAAAATGTTCCATTTCCTTTCAGGGCTTTGGATGACATCAAAGAAAGCATCAAAGAACTGAAATATTACAGAGAAAAAATATTTGTGAAATAAAATGTGGTACTAAATATTGTAATGATACTTAAATGGGTCCTTTCAAAATCGGACATCAGATGAATGAAGTCAATTTCATATCATTCTGTTCTGGCCCTAAAGCTGTTGAGAGATGCCGTGCTATAGTACTAATTCTTCTTTTTTATGTTAATATTCCTCTGAAAGAGAATTTTCTATAATTGCTAGGCACTTGGGAATCTGGCTGGAATACCCCTCATATTAGATTTTAAAGATATTTAGAAGCGTGGAGCACATATATAACACAAGACAATAATTATGGAATAAAACACACTTTTTAAAACATAGGTACATAACGTTTAAACAACAGTTACACGTGTTGTCATCAGATTCTATAATTATTGTCTTGTGTTATATATGTGCCCCCTCATATTCCCAATACGGCCTTGTGGGGTATTTAATAAAACAAATAAATTCAATACAACAGTTTATTTACATGTAGAATTCATAAACTTCATAATTGTAACATTTTAACACTTTTAGATGTATACATTGGTGGTAACCCAATTTAAATTGGAATAATATATCCTGCAATATTTGCTAAAATATAAAGTAATTGACAGGTTTGATTTGAATATCTACAACATACATTTGAAAATGAAAAATCTAAGTGCTAAAGGAATTCAAATTTACTCCTAAGTTGGCTAACTTGATGGCAACTGTACATATATTCAATAAAAAATCTTCTAAGCAATGAAATTGAGCATTTAACAATGACTCAAAATCAGAGGAATGCACATTTGGCAACCATTAAAAACATACATGAGCAGTCTATTTTGATAGAGAAGAAATAGGCTGTAATTTAAACTATAAAAGCCGATCTCTGTATTGTTTCATATACTATCTAAAATAAACAGAACAGCTAGTGTTGTTGATGCTAAGATACATCCTCTGGTATGCCCAAATGTCTTCACTGGACAATAAAAGCATTTCTATATACATTTCTATATGTATTATATTATCAAATTTGAAAAATACTTAGATAATTTATTTAATAGATAGTCAATAAAAACATAGAATTTCAAATATGCAATTAGTTATATTGAGAGACAAATGCTATTTTATAATAAGGACTAGACAAGAATGGTATAGGTTTCATCACAGAATAGAAGTAAGTAATATATATCTGAATCATATAGAAATCTAATGAATTTTGTCTGTTGGAAAATTCAACCACCAATTCTGTATTCTCAATATATAAGGAGAGAGAATGTGCCTGATTCAAAATAGTCAGAATAAGTAAAATAAATCAATTTATATCAACTCTGATAACATTTTTAAATTCCTCTTGAATATAATGTCAAACAGTGAGTAATATGTAAAGCAATATTGTTAATAGTACATAATCAAACTATAGAATACTATGTACAACAAATGATACAATTTTAATATAAAGAATTAAATAAAATGTACAAAAATATACAAAAGAGAAACTAATTTGAATATGGAAAATAATTTGAAACAAGAACTACACATAACAATAATATACATTATATATAAAAATAATGATAATATTTAATTTATTAATCTGATACACATTGCATTGGAAAAGTTTTCAATTCAAATACAAGATCACTAAATGTTACACAGACAATAGCAGTATTATCTGGTCACTTTGCTTATTTAGTAAGGCAAACCTACGTATCATTGCTATAATATAGAATTTCAAATTATTATAATTTTTCTTTATTAATTGCTTTTCAATTCAAGCCAATGAATCCCTTTTGGATATTACTCAGTTATAAAAGCTGCTTTTTTCTAAACTTAAATAAGCAAATTTGGTACGGTATTGCTTTTATGTACAGCTATTGAGCAAACATTTGGATCAGCGCAGCATCTCTGATAAAATTGAGAGCGAAACAGCACTTTTCTTTCTAAATAGGCTAGGTTGAATTGTCTTCTGTTATAATGCAATAAAGAAAAGCACTTGAACAATAGTTAGGTCTGTGGAAACTAAAAAAGTATATCATACAATAGGAAACACTGAAGGCAACAGAAAATCTGAACACAACTCTACATAACAACACCAATATCCTACAGTTGAAGTTATTATCTGTACAAATGCATGAATATTGCTTATTATTCATATAACCACAGAGTGAAAAGCTAATAGCACTTCCATGAGCACAAAACATAAACATAATAGATACTAGATTCTACAATAGCTGACTTGAGTTGCCAGATATTTGTGAATTCATGGTCTGAATTTATCAAAGACCTGTCATTATTCTTTAGAATTATTTCAAAATAATCCAACAAATACAAGGCCTCAACATTGTCAATACAAACAAAATACAAAATTTACACAGAAAATCAATATGAACATTTGCATTAAAAGTAACAGTTTTTTTTGATGGGTAGAATGAATTGTGATTGAACTATACATTGCATTCATTACAACCCAAGATGAATCAAACTATAAGGATTTATGTTATAATATAAAAGAGTCAGAAAGTTGAGAGAAATTTGATATAAGAAAAAATCAAGGATAGTAAAGGACGGACAAAATTGCTACAAAAAGGCACCCAGAACATGAAAGAAAACACAGAACCTTACATAATGTATCAAAAACGATTGGAAAATACCAAACCTTAATATTCTTGTCTTTAGGACTAATAACTACTATTCTGTTACATGTGACATTAAACAGCTTGACCCAGTAGCAACAGTGTACAGTATGGAGGAGTATATGATAGCTATGAAAAATTTTACATTTCAGTCTCACACAGGCTTTGTTGTTAGTTTATTACAAGCATCATCAGATATAGTATGAATTGAACTTGTCACCTATTTATTCTCAGCACTCCTTGATAATTATTTTAATGACTGGGCTCCTATTGAGAACATTTTTATAAATAAGGCCAAAAGGAATAGAACAAAATAATAAAGATGAATATAGCAGGGGATATGAGCAAGTATGGAATACACGAAAGACATTTAAAGGAAATTACAGGACTGAACAAGAATATAGTTGAGCAAAGATGTTATTATACATCCAGGATCGATAACACGAGCAATCCATGTTATTATCGGGTTGTTTAATTAGTAACCAACACAATGAAAGTTGAATGTGTGTAGTTTCCATGATTATTTATTCTACCTAAAAATAAAGTGGATGGTTCGTGGATGATTTAAACTGGACCCTGATCAGCAAAAATATCTTCACTTGACTATAATTCTGAATCTTTATAGCCAGCAAGGCATGTTTTCAGCTTCAGATAAAATTACTTTGATTTTTTAACCAATGTTAACACATAATTGAATATTGAAATCTATTGAAAAACAAATAAATTTTTGTGAGACTGATTAGAGCTATTCTAGCTAACTACCCATGAAATTTCCTTCAAATGTCAGTTTTCTCAAATAATCTCAAATACAAAATCACAGAATCCCAATAATTTGACAATAACACTTATAAATATAGTTATATGAACAATTATATAGAAATATATATTGTAATAAATATAGATGAGTATAGACTTCATATACATGGTTTTATCTCCAGTTATAGATTTCAAGTCTTTAGAAATCACACAATTTACTTTGATTCAATCAACTGAGAATCAAAAACTAGTCAGTACCATTATTTACAAATACACATTGGATAGAAGGTTTATATACAAAAATAGAATAGAATATCGTGAAAATAGATTTGACCTAAATAGCACTAGGTTTCTCATTTTAGATTTTGGGGTTACCTAAATTTGATAAACCTACATGTATCTTCAATTGAATGAAGTAAACAAACTTCATCTTTCATTTACCAATTTAAAGAATAGTTCGGATGCTAGTCACTCACATTCTGATGAAGATAAGTCCATATTCTAAGGAAATAATACAGTAGAAAAATTTATAACAAAATGTCAAGATTGCTTGTTTTAGTTTTAACATAAGATGTAAATCTCTTTAAAAATTTGGGATATTCTCTTTTATACACTGCTCTTAATACTGATGCTGGTGCCCATCCTCCTGGATTCACTGAAAAATAACATCAAACATTCATCAGATATCAAAGGCTGTATCCACAATATTTTTTTTTTTTTTTTTCTTTACATGAGTATTTCTCTAATTTACAACTTATCCTTTCTTCCGGCTGGTCCTTGGCCAACTATCTTGGCATTCATATTTTCCAGACTATTTATATTCAATTACTGCTGGGTTGATTGGAATTATGAGTGGAAATGACTTATTCAAGGGCATTGTACTTCCACACTGGCACAATGGAATGCAGATTTTAGCAAAAAGAATTGATTGGATGTAAAAGTTCTTACTTACCCTCGGCAGTATATATAATTTTACAAGTAATATCATCACGAGATATTTGACATCCATCAGCAGGTGGTTTTATTAACGTTTCACATACCATACCAACATTCATAAATACACGGACATATTTAGTACTCTAAAATAATAAATGGCATTGTTGTCAAGAAATCCCACGTATTCACTATCCAAGGGAATTTTCATCCTAAATTTATCATATATTCAAAATATTATTTGTGAAAGGGGTTGATCGCGACACCTGCTAAATCTCAGAAGCATTGGCCGTCAACCAGAAGTTTTCTAACCTTTAGGATGATTCGAACCCATGGCACCTAATTGCTATTTATAATTCTAATATAATACAATACTAATATTGGCCCACTTTCACCCAATCTGGCAAAATAAAAATATTTTTTATCCTGAAATATACTTACTGGACATTCATCATGTTCTGTAGAATAATTAACGACAATCCATCTATCTGGATCCTCATCTTGGTCACCAGCTATGTGTTGTATATGTGACCAGAATAATGCATCACGCTGGGATGCTGGCCACACCCTTTTAATAACATTATGACTGACAAACGTATCATCTGATAACCATTCTATTACTTCACTAGAATCTAATGTGGCTACAAATGAGAAAAAAGACTTTGTTATGGGTTCGAATTTTGACCAATAGCATCATCAATGGGATCTCAATATATATATAAGTATTACAAATGATAATACAAAAGATTGAAACCAGTAAAATGAATCTTTATTATGTAATTGAGGCGTTTTCATCTTGGGGATAATTATCAGGCTATATTCTCTGACATGAAAGAAATTGCAGGATAAAATCCCCAAATAGGAAGGATTTACAGAAAAGGGGGGTAATGCAATTGATCAAGGACCAAGGGTTGAAAATCTCTGAGTAATTCATTATCTTACCTTCCCACTCCATTCTATACTCAATATCCCAAAAATATTTACACACTTCATGTCCTGTTATACCCTATAATACGAAACAATTTGATCAGTTACAAGTTTAAACTACTGCGCACTATACACACAATTATACAGAATATGCATTGTTTATAATGAGTACCGAATGAACCCTGATAAATAATTTTGAGCATATCAAATTAGTAAAGCATTTTTATTTCCAAAAAGGAAAATTTTTATAAAGTATAGACTTGATCATTTAGAATTTGAACTGAAATGGGCATCTGTGTTGTTTTTTATTCAGTGTGTCTGCCATTCACTGCCAAGTTTCTGTTATTGACTCAGTAATAACTCTTGAAACTCTTGATTCAATTCAAACAGTAAAAAAAATTTTTAATTCTCATAAATCAAGAAACAATTAGTCTCAGTTATAAACATCAACATACCTTGACCACATGAATAGCTTTTAATGGATCAATAACAATACCATCTTCCTCTAGTTCTTTTTTATAAACTTTTAATTCACCATCTTCAGCTATACATGTCCAATTCTCTTCTAAATTATCATTAATTTGGTTTAAATGGTGACTGACTATCTGATTTACCTAAAAATACATTATTGTAATGTCATATTTATGTAATATCCATTACTGTCTATATTTATTCTTCAAGTTAAATCAAACCATGAAACATGAACATTATTTGCCTCTGAATCTGTATGTCTGATGTCTTTGACATAATGCCCATTCTGAACATTAGAGGTCTTACTCAAAATCTGTTGAACTAATGAATTTTTTACTCTATGCTGTCAACTGATAGGGGAGTATAGAAACCTCTCTAACTTACCTCTGTAAAATATTTATGTTCAGGAGATAAGGAGATATGGGTGGATGAAGGTTTATCTTTATTTATTGCAGCACGTTTCTGAAATACAAATAAAGTCTGGGTTAATTAGGCACATCCTTTCCAAGCGTTTATCAAAATGTAGATATGAGAATAAGCTTTACTTGTCAAACTTCAATAGGGTCGCAGGCTTAAAGAATAGGTCACTTGTCTGAAGATTGCATAGTGTGAAGTCAAAGTAACAATATGATGTTCTGTTTTTATATTTCTATGTGAGACTGATGTGAAAGTATATGCTAATTTATCTTTACATGACTTACATTTTCTTCTTCTTTTTCTAATTTATCTAAAGTTGCATCAACTGCATCATAAAATTCTTCTTCTGGTATTAAACAATGTGGACCCTCCTGTAATACACGTTTACACACACAATTATCTCCCTTGAACCACACTAGAGATTGTTTAACCCTGAAGTTACTCTGATATGTATTGTGTTGTGAAGTAATCATTTATTAAACAGAATTAGTTATCTTGTTTGGTGTTAAAAGAGGTTATAAGACTAGTACATCTCATGAATCAGGATGTTGAAAGCCAAGGATGGTTTTACATGCTGATGATGTTTGCTACATTAACCACTTCGCCCTCTTGCACAAAAAAATCTTGCAATAAGAATTTGTTATACAAAATTGAATGTAAGATTTTTTGTTTGACACCGGTCCCAGACTATCATCATGAATAAATCCGAATTACCTCATAATCTGGTCCTCCTAACACTACAGCTTTAGGTCTTTCATTTAATAATGTTTTATACGATTCTTCATATTTCTTTCTTCTGTCTACTTCCTGTAATAATTATTAATAGTTTTATAATATTAACTTCAATGACTGTGTAACTTGTTACAAGAAAGAAAGAAACAACCATTTCTCACAAGAGTAAGACCTTAGGAGGCCGCCAAGCACCTTATTATCTTAACAATAATCTTCTTCGGATTGCCCTTAACCATTTACAGCTGGGTCGACTGCTAAGGAAATATAACTTATTCAAGGTCACCAGACTTTAACATATCGACTGAGATTAGACTGAGGTAACGAAGCAAATGACATCATGTATAGACTCTAACCCTCTAGCCTACTGTGCTATCTTTAGTCCTTCCTTTTAAAAGAAGATACACTAATTCAAACCGAACAGCTAAGTAAGCGATCTAATAATCTAAAAAAAACATGACTCAGACTATAATTTTGAAACAAAGTAACACTGACCCTTTCTAGACGTTTTTTCCAGGCCTCTTCTCTTTGTGACATTAATTCTATACAATGAGACAGTGTAGCTACTATACCAGCTGTGGTAGCTTTAAATGTGAACGCTTCTCCTTTAAAATCTACTGAATGTCCTCCATGTTGTTGTAAAATACAGGCTGAAATTCAAATATATTCGTATGTTCATAATTTTGCCGGGACACTTCCATTGGTCTGTTCTATTTGACTTATTAACTTATCAAGGTGGTCAGCAGCCTTAGTTTATTATCCCATCAGAAAGATTAGAAAGATTCTTTCCATTACAGCTCCTTCCACCTGCATGGCTTAAGTTTTCACAGAATGAGAGTGTCTGGCTTCAGAATACATTCAAAAAGTATAAGAAGATGAAGACTTTTGCAAAACAATATTACATATCTTACCTATATCACTAGTTTTGAGACCTTCGAATTTCTGATTAAGAATATCTGTATTGACGGATGAAGATGTTGTACTTGATTCTAAATCATCAGGATCATCAATATCATCATGCTCATTTACTGTGGACAGAAAAAAAAGAAAATGAGTTTTGGTACACCCTTTCAGGAACAGTGTTAGAGAAATTTTATTTTTATGGGCTCAAAATCTGATACATTTCTGGTCAGAAGCCCATTGTATTGTCCCCAGCAGGCTGAATATTCGACCTTATTATTATTTGTTAATCCTATTTTTAATCCTTAATTCTATTTATACAATTCGTGATAATAATACAGTTTAGTGGTATGAAATTTAGACAGGAACTAAGACCACAAAAATTGAGACTACCCAAATACATTTCAAATCCATTTCAAACGAAATCAGAAATAATGGAACATGAGCTTACTTACATTGTTGATGTGTACCATGGGCTACAGCTGAAGCACAGCTATCAAAATAACTCTGTAGTGTATCTATTTGACGACATAAGATATCTCGAAATGTTTCCATTTCATGTAATTTTTCACGTAATCCTCTCCCCCTCTGCAAAAAAGGGATTTATAAGCTTGAAAATGGAATCTCCACAGAAAAATTATGACACCTAAACCATTTCATAATCAGGTTAAAATAATGGAATAAACCTTCTTGGGCTCATCCAGTGAATTGTTGTGGGTTTATAGTGACTTCAAGCATAATCTAGATTTGCTAATCGATTTGCAATAAGAACCAGAATGGTAAAATGTAGTCACAGTGCTGCCTAAGAATTAGCATAGGGTATGGTGGATTAATGTCATTTTAATAAATGTTTGATTATTGTACCTTAAATGAAGAAGCTGAGGCTGTAGATAGACTGGTACCAGACGCCAGTGATAACATAGATCCATGACGACGTAAATTATTCTCACTACCATATCCTGATTCAGCTTGCTAAAAATACAGGATAGACAAAAGTATATTATAAAGAATGATTGGACGTATCTGTATACAGATACAGCATTGATTTGATCATGTATCTCTATAAAAGTTGTATTACCAGTTTCCAAACTAGATAATTTGTATGAAACAAAGAAACAGAAAGCAAAAAAGCAGAATTGTTAAAACCATACCAATAAAGTCAGTTGAACAATCAAACAGTTAATTAATAAAAGTTTGCATTTCACTGCAGGACACAAATAAGTTAGTAAATCAAAATTAAATGGTTAGTTATTAGTCTATAATCACCTAATTATCTGCTTTACCAGTATAATCTAATAGAAAATTGGTCTGAATATCAGTTTTTCACTCATGTATGAATAGTCAAGTAAGAGTAAATCTTAAGGCAAAAATCTTTGTTTTGCAAATTGTCAATAAATTATTTTCAAATTGTATGAGGTTTAAGCCTCTATGGAATCTTAATAATAATTCAACATAATTGATATAAACAATAAAACTAATTTTACTGGCAAAATAATTTCATATTATTCTATATATTTCCATAAACCTGTTTTTTTTTTAATAATAACAGCGTATGAAAGAATTGATTATTTTACTTCAATAAATTCCAATAGCATTACTTATACCAAATATAACTTTAATATAAATATTCTGAATCATGCTCTGCAACATGCTGTTAAAGTTCTAATTCATAGTTTCAAACACTTTATCACAACAGTTTTGCATCAAATGAAAGGGATGTAAAATCCACAAGCTGCTCTTGTCAATTCTAAAATGTCAATTGATAGGAGTTCATCTCATGCTGTTGACATGTTACAAGATCCAGTGATGACTGAAATTGTATTTCACCCACATTGGGCCAACTGAATTTTGTATTTCACCCTCAATGTGCCAACTGAATTTTGTATTTCACCCAGTGTTGACTGAATATTGTATTTTACCAACCCAGTACCAAATGAATTTTGTATGTACTCATCCAGTGCAGACTGAATTTTGTAATTCACCTACCCAGTGCAGACTGAATTTTGCATTTTACCCACTTAGTCCTGTTAGAATTTTGTATTTCAACCAACCAATGTTGACTGAATTTTGTATTTTTCAACTCAGTGCAGACTGTCTTTTTTATTTTACCAAACCAGAGCTGACTGAATTTTTGTATGCTACCCAACTAATCTTGACTGAATTTTGTATTTATCAAAATTACCTTCAGAAAAAACTATTTTAATATCAGGACTTCCACTTTGAAGTTCCAACCTTTGTTTAATAAAGTGTGTAAACCGAACTATAAGCTTGTTATATAATGAGTCATCAATATACTATTTCTAATAATTACTTATACCACACGTTCTACTTCCTGTTGGTATTTTAATGTACATATGATCTCATCAGTTTTATTCAGTATTTGTTTAAAACTTGAATTCAGTCTACTTTTACTTTTGAAGAGTAATGAAAACATTAGAAGAGCACAAGATATTTGATATATTGTATAAAGCTATACAGCTTTGACTTGAAAACAACTTGGTAATAAACACTATATATCAGATCACGTAATGTGAAAACATTGCATGATTTACTGTGCTGTATAGGGCAGGGTATCAATTATTAATAATCGAAATATTTCAATTGAGAAACCCTGTAAATATTATGGCTTGTTGTGGGTAAGTTGATGGGAACCTATGTGGAAGAGATTACTACTTTGTTAATGGGTAAAGTGGAGACAATGTAACTTTAACATATAATTGATTATGAAATTTGAAAATAATAGAAATTAGATATTTGAAGTAACAATAATCAATTATTTTGATTATTTTACCAGGCCCTAGTTCTGTATCTGTTTTTCAGTCAGAAGCAATATTCAACATCCCATTACTACAGGTCACTTAGCTGTGGGTGTATTAGACGGAGTCATTTCCTAACAACTGACATATAATTCGCGGAATTCATTGGTATTTCAACAATATATACAATCAGTATATCTGAAGTTGGAAATTAAGGCCTATGATACCTAATAATAGAAATTTTGTTAAATTAGGAAGTCTAAATAATTTGATTTCTTTATGTGTAAATTAAATCATTACTTTGAACCCTCCTGCAGTGCCTACTCACCTGGATCTTCTACATTTTTAATCTGTGATAAGGAATAAATAATTATAGCAACGAGCATAGCGATTATCAAGAGTATTGTTATATTAATGAGTAGGTGTATTGTACCTAATAACCACCTTAATGAATGATATATAACGAGGATTGCACAATAGGCAACAGGTAAACAACACCAAATGAACTTTCTAGCACCTATTGTATTATAAACTTGTTTCTAGTCTCACGAACATTGTAATCAAAGTAATTCAAGGTAACACCACACCTAATGCGATACAATTTTCAGCCGAAAAAAACAGGTTTTCAATCTCAGATGTGTTTCAAAAAAGACTTTTAATGTCCCAACTATGAGTAACATATTTGTGACAATTATGTATCAGATAAATAAATGAGATATCTGAATGAAACATTTTGTTCAAGCCATTGATATAGAGATTTTTTTCCCGAATGAAATGAAGTACATCGATCAAAATTTGATCAAATGAGATGACCCAACCCAGGCAGTGTGCAAATGACGACATTAGCCTACTATATTTAGGCATGCACCACATTTCTGCCTGTATGACACATGGCATATGAGCAACAAAATGAGGGCATAAATTAACCCACTCCATCATTACATGCACCTATTTCTGCTTGTCGGACACATTCATTCTTGCCTATTTTGCAGTTGCAACTATTAAGGGATTCCTTACTATTATATCCCCAGAGCTCAGATGGCAAACTTAAAGAGTGAGTTATGAGATTTGATAATACCTTTAACACCATGTAGGCAGTGGGTGTTTTATGTATAGATTTCAAGCCTGATTAATGCTATATATATCTTCAAGATAGATCATATATATTGATTTACTAGCATTTAAAGGTCATTGGAAATAAAAATAAAAACAACATTAATCAAAATCAATACATAAAAATATTTTTTACTACTTAATGGAATAAATAACAATATATCTCAAGAACTTATTTTCTTGACCTTTATAGTTACAAGATAGTTAATGAAATGTTCATGTTCATGTGCATGAAGATGCAAGTCTAATTCAAGTATATTAATTAAGGTTGAAACAAAACGCTAATAAGTCAGTGAATCATGATCATTTTCTTGGCCCTCAATTATCACAATTGTTAAAGGATGAATACTTTCTTTCATATTCTAATTTAATTAAATTAATCCTTCAATCTAATTCTTTGTTACACGAAGCATCAGGAAGCATCTATTATAACAAACTTCCATAACATTAATCTCCCACCTCATTCTTCTCTATGCTTTGTCAGGTGCCAGAGCTGGTATGAGAAGAGAAGAATACTATATTGAAGTATGGTAATATATGCATACGAGTCCAAATGAAATTTATAACTAACTGTCATTTCCCACTCTCTTCTATCCATTGCCAGAAGCCAAAATTAATAAGTGAATCCAAGAAGAATACTAATTGAAGTATGATAATATACAACAAAGAGAATATGCATACAAATTCAAATGAAATTTTTTAGTACTAAGGTGTATCTATCATAACTTACTGCCATTCCCCACCCCACACACTTCTATCCATTGTCAGGAGCCAGAATTAATAAGAAGAAGACAGACGACTAATTAAAGTATGATAATGAAGTATCCACTATGACTAATAAAATAGTAGTAATATAGATATTATCACTAACATACCAGGATATCAATAAGTTAACCATGATTATTATCATATACCGAAACCTCTTGTAAACAACACAATAAAAACAATAGGATACCCACTGAACTTTGATAAAGTGAATCATTTTAATAACATCATGACCTGAAAACTGAAATTGACTATTTGCCATTGTCATCAAGGAGTGTGCAATGAAGTTTTAATGAAGTCTTTTAATTTTTAAACTGTCAAGGACCTTTAATGTGCACATTACTTCAAGGTGCTACTCTTTTAAATCACACAAACTACTACATGCTTTTACAAAGTTTTCCACGCAATCTTAAGAATTTGACTGACACTTAAAAGGGACGGCAAACATTTTTTTATGTTGAAAATGTTCACATTCATAATAACATAACATAACCCAACATCATAAAAATTCATTCACACTATATTCGCACAACTGTAAATTCGCAGTCATCGCTTCTCTTCCTCTTCATAAACCTGATAACAGGGCTGAGGAAGTAGAGCATGACACTATACAACTATTTTTATTATGACTTTATAATATTTCTTTGATCATGTCAGAATGGTCTAACTTTGTATAAATAAGACAGCCCAATTCACAAACAAATGCAATAGACTGACTTGACAGAACATGACTTATCCAGGAAATATTGAAACAAAAGCAGTTTAGTCAAGTGTATAATTTCACATTCAGATATATCAAGAATTTTTATGAAACAGGGCCCGGGTTATATATTAAGAATTTTGATGAAACACAATTTTGATGAAACAGGGCCTGGGTCAAATATTAAGAATTTTGATGAAACATATTCAGAATGTTTTTTTTTTTAAATAGGGCCCAGCATCATATATTAAGAAGTCTTATGAAACATATATTAAGAATGTTTTTTTTTTTAAATAGGGCCCAGCATCATATATTAAGAAGTTTTATGAAACATATATTAAGAATTTTTATAAAACAGGGCCCAGGGTCATATATTAAGAATTTGTATAAAACATATATTAAGAATTTTTATGAAACAGGGCCTCGGGTCAAATATTGCCAATCATATTGTATGAATAACTGTTGCTTGAAAGTTTCAATTAAATTCAAGAATTATGAGCCAGGAATAATAATAAGTTCATTTGCTGCTACCAATGTTTCGCCAATATGTTGTTTTGGATTTTGGGTTTTGTAATGCAGTTTGGATCATTAGTACTGGGACTACTAGGGTATGTTTATAGTACTGGTATTTTATAGCATATTAGATTCTACCAGGCATAGATAATGGTATGCTGTATACATTATAAAGATAAACATCTTTTAATGATTGAACAGGTGGTTGAGAGGTCTGACAATTCTATTACTCATTTAATTTGCAGGGTTTATACTGGAGAGTAGGCTAAAGATAACATCGAATTATTAGAATGTTAAGGAAAATTATGTGCAGTAGCTAATCATTGAAATATATCATTAATCATTAATAGATACATGTGAGGATGAGATGTGGAGTTGATAGTCAAACACGCCCAGTCCCAAAGTGGCAGCATATTTTCTGTATGGATGAGAATGAGCATATCCTTAAAACCTTGCATTTGAACTGAAGATTAAACCTCATAGCCAGCACAAATATCTTGGGGACAATCTTGTCATCCAGCAGAACCAGCAGTCTGATGAGGTGTGATCTTATTCATCTAAATTATCATTTTTGGATGGATTTGAATAAGCAACATAATAGGTGTGGTAGCCATGCATTCATGGTGTTCTTCTAATCAATCATATTGACAATGAATTTACAAATCGCTTAAAAACGTGAATAATAGATTGATTTATCCAAAGTACAGTATACGGATGTAGACAAGAATGTAGAAAACTAACAATGAATCATTAAAACAGTATTCTAATATGAAGTAAAATATTTACTATTTACAACTTGTTTATAAGCTACACTGATTTACTGCCAAGTCTTATATTAACCTAAACCTCTTAATCCCCTGCCACTTTCTCTTTTAAACCTTTCTACTCTTATTTCAACGCACGAAGAAAACAGGTAAACTTCTTTCCGACTTTTCAAGGCTACCTGTTCGATTTACCATAATCCCTTCCTTTCATTAGTTTCATGAAGCTAAACTATTATATTTTCCATTAAACAATAAAATACAACATTACAATAGCTTTTTGTGAGCTTTTGGATTTATTAAATTACCACACAATATAGTTTTGTTTGTGAGTGATTTAATCTCATAGGTCTATACTATACAACTATTACTTTCAACTAACTTGTAAATTTTGATGCAATGCTTGTTACCAGTGATCAGAAAGACAGGCAAATCGCAGTTACACAATCATCTTACCTTCTTTCGCCCAATTAGGAGCAGAAGAGTGGGATGTAAAACTCCATTCATTTCATGCAATCATCAATAAGATATTAGTGAACTGAATGGAATAATTTTCTGACATCAATAAATCTGATTTGTGATAGAAAATAGGCAGAACATCTTATTAACCTTGACAATGGGATAATGAACTATTTATTTACAGATAACATAACAAAGAAGGTCTCAGAACCTATGGTAGATACTTTTCCATTGATGCATAGCACAATTCCTATACATAACATAGCACGATCATAGTGTACGATCCTACATGACATTCATGGGATACTGATAGTACTGATTAACAGCAAACTCTTTCAGTTTTCAAGACAAAGTGTCCTTTAAATCAGTGATAGAAATTAGCCATAGCCCTCTCACTTTCCTTGAGTAAGGGAAAATAATATTCATCAGAGGCTAGTATTTGACTAAGTTTGTAATGTAGGTGTTATTATTGTAAATGAAAGTGGTAATACTATAAACAATTAAGATAATGATAATATCTTGTCTCTAGAGGATGGGTTGACTGATTGTATTGTCTCATACCCTGATAGTAATATAGCTTTATAATCACTTATCATATATCAATAACAATAGTACTTGAGAGATACAATAATAAAATATTTTCACTGTTAAACTAGTACTCGATACGGTACATCAATTGTGGGGGCCATATAAAAATACCACTGTTACCATAGTGCACAATACATCAATTGTAGAGTGATATAGAAATATCACTGTTAAAATATTGCTCAATACATCAATTGTAGAGCGATATAGAAATATCACTGTTACCATAGTGCACAATACATCAATTGTAGAGCGATATAGAAATACCACTGTTACCATAGTGCACAATACATCAATTGTAGAGTGATATAGAAATATCACTGTTAAAATATTGCTCAATACATCAATTGTAGAGCGATATAGAAATATCACTGTTAAAATAGTGCTCAATACATCAATTGTAGAGCGATATAGAAATACCACTGTTAAAATAGTGCCCAATACATCAATTGTAGAGCGATATAGAAATACCACTGTTAAAATAGTGCTCAATACATCAATTATAGAGTGATATAGAAATACCACTGTTAAAATAGAGCACAATACATCAATTGTAGAGTGATATAGAAATACCACTGTTAAAATAGTGCTCAATACATCAATTGTAGAGTGATATAGAAATACCACTGTTAAAATAGTGCTCAATACATCAATTGTAGAGCTATATAGAAACAAAACTGTTAAAATAGTGCTCAATACATCAATTGTAGAGCGATATAGAAATACCACTGTTAAAATAGTGCTCAATACATCAATTGTAGAGTGATATAGAAATACCACTGTTAAAATAGTGCTCAATACATCAATTATAGAGTGATATAGAAATACCACTGTTAAAATAGAGCACAATACATCAATTGTAGAGTGATATAGAAATATTAAAACAGAACTTGAATAATGTTGTTATTCAAAGTTTCACCCTATGAGTATGTACTACAATAACTTGAAATCAATATATATATATGTCTCAAGTACTGGTACTCATAGGGTGAAACTCTGAATATATATATATATATGTACTACAATAACTTGTAGCTAACATAACAAATTATTCCTATATGTAATCTTTATTTGCAACATCTTACACCGTTTCTGGTCAAAGGCAATACACAAAGTAACAAGTATTATCACATAATAAGTTTACAATGCCATTGAAAAAATGTGTAATCACTGTAGTGTGTATATAGTTAAAAACTATGCTATTATGTGTAACTGAACACATGGTTTTAAAGTAAAATGTAAAAAAAACACAACTAGTAATAATATACCTTTAAATCAATATCACATGACACAGGTAGTGGAAAATTTTTCTTTTATCTTTGTCAAAGCAGTGATAACATTACTATTTGCATATATATTTGTGTTATTAGCATTATCTACATTCTACTGATACTTTATCATTTCAATTGACATATATATCATTGTTACTGCTTATTGGTTGAAATTCAAATATTAACTGACTTGTTCAGGTTTAAATGGAGAGTTAACTCACTAGATAGAAAAACAACTCACTTTAGGACATGGATTAGTCAAGAGATTTACTTAAAGCCATCATGCTCTGTATAGAACACAAACCACAAATGGTGTCTTAAACAAAGTCAACAATCGATCTGCATAAGCAAAGGTTCCATTAAGAATGTCACAAGGGAATTCCTGGTATTAGTCATGTAGATTGAATACTCTAACAGAAGGAATCAAAGTCATGCGTGCATAAAGTGATAAAATATATATCATAACATTATCGACCAATAAGTTAACATAGAAAATTGACAGCTAATGACTGGACAGAAATTTTCACCCTTCACTATTCATTATCATTCATAATAAATATGTGATATTACATCAGAGTAATCACAAATATCACCTATTTATAGACAGATCTATATAGCAGATTAGCTGATCTAGATATTATTAAGCTTATCAATTATGTAGTTCTATTCACAAGGCCTATCCTAACCTAGCCTTTACATTTATTCAGTTCTGTTTATAGGTATATTATGCAATAATATAGTTAAGTCATTATATCCTTTTCATGTCAAAACTAAGTATGAAGGACACGTATACAGAGAACTGTATATTATACTTCAACAATATTTAAACATCTTATTGACTGCAGTATGACTTTGATGAATATCTTCATTAGTGTAATATAGTTGATGAAAGGTTATGTCATTCCATTCATTAAATGACTCCAATGGTTTATATAGCCTAGAGGTGTAATACTATCAATAGGAAGAGAGATGAAGGCGTGTATATTATTCTGTAGAGATAAGTGGTATGGTAAAGATCTTATGTGATCTAAATAAACATACTATGTGTAATTTACACACAGCAAATTCACACCATATTACATAAACTATACATTCCACAAATATGTCTTCTATTGGTTCAGAAAGTTCAGCATTGTTTTCAGATACTGTCGGTGTTTATAATAATAAATTTCAATCAAAACCACTTCATTGACAAAATCTTGTTTCTTTAAGCTATATGCTGTACAGTATTTACTCTTATGAAAAGCTAAGTTATCATAGTTTACATTTACAACTTCTTAACAGTGTTTTGCTCATTATAAATACATATGTAATAGGTACTTATGTACTGAAATTTAATATCAAGAAGATTACATTAAGTTATTTCTAATATCAAAAATCTTGAATTATTCATTAGAGTTTTTTATGTCACATCATTGCAGGAACCAAACATAAAATGTAACTGTTACAAATTCCAAGAATTCTTGAAAAGTAGGTCAAATATTACAACTTCATATTCAAAACATATTTTCTGGTTTACAAGCTTGAGGATTGGTTAATGCTATTCCATCCGCTAATGGTGTAATAAAATTTGAACAATTTTGAATTAAATTTAGCACAAATTCCATTTAAGAAGGAGGTAAAAAATCATGACTTATATATACAGGACAGGAATAGTTTTGTTTTTATTTAAAAAGTGGCCCAAATTCCCTTTGAACTGAAATTGAACTAAGTCTTAGAACATTTAGAATATTGAGTATTTTGTCCACAATAAAATATATACGGTACCGGTACCGATAATTTTACTAAGGTATAGTACAAAAAATATGGTAATTTGATCTCTTGATCAAACCCCATAAATTTCTTTGCTGTAGTTGGTTTAATCTTTCTCAATTCACAATTATTTCTAAATAATAACTTATATCAATACAGGTAAATGATTATAAAATAAAGCACCAACCTTGTGTAGCTCTATTAAGTCTATCCAATGCTGTCTTTCATCAGGGTAGGATGCCCTCAAATACCACACACTATCTCCTACACTTACATCAAATCTACATTCATCAAACGGATGAGGCTGAAATATACATAACATCATAGAATTTCATTTCTGATCAAACTTACCGGTTCTTATGCCTGTTTTCACTTTATCACCATACAATTTTGTTTTCAAATGAAATGATATTGACAGAATTTTACAGTTTCATAAGCTTAGACAGACAGTCCAATTATTTATTAGTTCGTCCACATAATTTGTGTTTTGTTTTGATGTAAAACATGAAAATTAATTGACAATAATTTTATAGAAATGAAAGAATGCCTAGAATTTACCAGATCACGTTTTATGGGTAAGTAATGCATTTCTGTTTCCAATTTCATGATTGAATTTGATAGACAACAAGGGTGCAGTTTCATAATCATTAGTCTAGTACTGTATATTGATATTCAGAAGAAATCTCAGGATCTATTAGAACTTAATAGAACACACAACAGGTAGCTTTTAAGCACCATACTTAGCGTTTTGGCTTATAAGCTTGTCAGTAACCTTTTAGTATTCAATATAGGCCCTGTCATATCTCAGTAGCATACGAAAGTACATATGTCACACGCAGAGTGAAATCATATGAGAAGAAGCATTACAAAACAGTAAACAAAGTTAATTCATGACAATAATTTTTACCTTGTAACAAAAAAACAGGAATATGAAGTAAATAGTATTTTACACACAGCAAAATAAAAATCATTCAAAATTTCCAAAGTCTGTGCCCTGCCCCTGACTGATCCAGCAAAGATTTTAAGACTTTGGCTTGGTACTAAATCTATCTATATACTTACTGAGACAGCCGCTTTATTCAAACTAACAGCACCACGACATCCAAACGCAGTCTCATCTTCTGATTTATAATAACTTAAAGTAGAGTCCTTTAAAACGATAAATCTGTCTTGCCAACCATGTAAATAATTTGTCCACTTGCTGAGAGTTCCCTGTAATTCTTGGACCGACGGTTCCTCAAGATCGTCTTCATCGTCAGTCAAACATAGTATATCCCTTTCCTCAGACATTGTCAATTACTTTAATTCAAACACAATTTCGAACCATTTGAACTACACACGGAATTACACAAAAACATGCGGAAATCACATTCTTGTTCACCAACTGTAAACACCACTTGCAGTCGCCATTTTTAGGTCACGCTGGTATGATGACGTCACAAGTCATGAGTCAGTGCGCCAAGGGCCATAATCTCTCATTGTTCACTACAAATGTCAGACTACAACGAAATGGTGAAAATAAATTTCATTACTCACCTCGTCATAAGTAAAGGTAATATTGGCTTTATCCAACTTATGTCATACGTGTCTTCATCTTAACACTGTAATAAATATTAAAATCAGACATCAAATACATCCTTTAATAAACTACCTTTCGTCAAAAAAAGTTTTGACTTCATCAAATGGAGAAACAAATCGCAATTGGTGGAAGTCAGTTAGATTAATTAACACTGTAACATACCTTATTGAAACTTTTGCTACAGGTCTTAATGACATATACTGATATTTCATTTTATCACTCTCTGAGGTTATCAGTTATGAACATCAAGACAAGAGGTTGTATAATAAAATAGTTTAATCAGTAATATAACAAGTGTAAATATTCATATATAAAATACATAACAATAATGAGCATAATAGAAAATCCAAGAAAATTCATTAATCTAGGATGCAGTTAAGTTATTTATTCAATGTGGTTTGAAAGAAATTCAACAAGCATGAGATAGGGTAATTTTCCTTTAATGCCACTTTATTGACAAGGCTTAAAATATACTGTGCAATGTGGAACAAAACATGCCATAATTTTGTAAATGTTAGCTGTTAGTTTGCTTGATCATAAATGTCAATGCTTCAATGGTGGACATGTTGATGGTTCAAATTCAGGCCGAATTTGACTTTAATCAAGACTTAAAAAATGATTCTATGGACTTTGTTTTGACTTTGGAATTGGATTTAGTTTTCTTTTTCTTGGAAACTTGGTCTGATTTCTTGTCCTCTCCATTTAATCTGAAAATAAGAACTTGGTGAGAATTTATTTATATAAATATCCTAGACAGACTTTAACCAGTTTCTTTTCCAAACCAAGGATGATTTTGCTTTGAAAATGCTTAATGACTACAATATTCCATGTTCTATCTTTTTTTATTATGATCAAATTATGAGGTTTAGCTTGTATGATAAACAGAAACGATATTATGACAAAAATCCATCAGTAAATAAGATTTAAAGCTTAACAGAACACATACCTTCTCTTTTTAGTATTAAGAATTTCTGTTGATGAAGATTTTTGTTGCTGTAAGATCTCTTTAATAGTGTCTTTACTTAAACAGGCATCAACATGTAAATTAAATTCTTCAAGAGATGAACATTGTTTTTGTTGATCACAAATAGGACAAGTAAAAACAGATGACTGGCAAGATGTAGATGGTTTACCTACAAAAAATGAAGGTTTTATGATAATTTAATAATGATTAGAATAGAGAATCTTATGTTGTCTAAATGTTTTTATTAATTAATAGCTCAAAATTCAGAAGTCATTTCTGGTATTAATATAGAACCTTCATGTAACTTTTAATCCTGCTTTACCATTCTTTGGACAAGATTTTTGATTGATGGAATTGTCTTGCTTGTACAGATTTATATTTTGATACATTAGCTTCTAAGCATGCATCATAGTACTAACTTAATTGTGGTTTATCAGGGGCTGTAACCTGATAAACAGAGTCTGAAGCTGGCACCACTTCCATTGTTGGTTCTTTGCTATTTTCTCCTTTAAGACATTTTTCAACATGTAAACTCATTCCATTTACACCACAATAAATCTCCTTATCACAAACAGGACAGATGAGTTTAGAACTCGAAAATAAATCTTTATAACTTGCTCCATTGTTCTTTGCGTTCAGCTTTTTAGGTGAATGAAACTTTGAAACTTTTGTGCTGAGAGTTGAAAGATTGTCTTGTGTCTTATTAAGATTATCACATTCTTTAGAATCGTCAATGATAATTGGTTCACTTTGTTGGTTTACATAAGAGGCAGCTGGTTTTTCAGACATCTTCTTAAAGAATCCTGTCAAAGTTTCTTGTTTTGATTTAGAACATGCTGTATGGTGTAACAGGTTAGACATTCTTACACCTGGATAGAAAAAGAAACTTAATTAGACTTAAAGAGCTCTGGCTCCAATGTTTAGAATCTTTCATTTGATGGGGGAAAAAATGATAGTCAGAGGTCTGAAATTTTTATATAATTATTAAATTAATGAGGGATATTTTGCCAGGACAGCAGCAACTAATATTCTTAATGAGAAGCATATAAGTAGATTCTTACCCATTAATCTAAGAGTTAAAGGTTTAGGTTGAGCATTAGCTATCTCAATTCGGAGTAATTCTTTACAAGTATTGTATATAGTTTCCTGGTCCCAGATATAATCAGGTATTGTCTGTGCTCTGGTCTTCACTTCAAATGTTGAGGTTTTTATTTTCAGTGTCACTGTTTTACCCTGCAAGATTTTAATATACTGATATTAAATTTTAGAAAGTACTGGTATGCATCCATCTTCTTGTTAACTAATTGAAAGGAGAGTTTTATTTATTATAAGATAAATGCATATGAATCAAGATGGGCACCATACTGACTCACCTTTAATCCTTCTTCATTTAAATCTTTTGATAATGATTCACTAAGTTCTAAACACTTATCATATAAATCACTTGGGTTACTCATATCTCGAAATGTCCTGCAAATAGCAAATATAACCGAAATATTCAATGTATGCTAAAAAAATATTATCTATAACCACCAAGAATTAGATGTACAAGATGGACATAAAACAACATGATCTTCAGTGATCTGGAAGAAGACAACACCTTTGAAGGCTGGTCAGAGATTAACAAAGAAGCAAGGTTTCTTTATAGAATCTTTGAGCCAATATAACACCTTCAGTTTTTACAGAAAGAGCTGCTGCCCTTTAATCAACAAAGGTTATAAAATATTTTGAAGAAATTGAATGTCCTAAAATATAAGATTACCTTTCAGTACTCATGCTCTTTCTTTCAGAATCTCTAAAATAAAACAAGAAAAAAAATAACTTTTTGAAATCTTCCTACTCAACAAAACCCATTATAAGAATCAAACTAAAGATTTATGCATATACAACAAATGAAAGATTTGTGTCCATCTGGTCTGTTCCTTATACAATAAGGTAAAAAGTAACCTTTGATGCCGTACCTTTCAACAGTAGTAGAACCCAGTCCTAGACAAATTCTCATAAAATAGTGGAATGATATGTCTGAATATAAATGATACAACAATGATCTATGTTGATATAGATCACGACATTTTACTACACCTAGAGCATTCAACATCTGTTCACTGATTTTACCAATACCAGATATCTGTATTAAAAAATAATACATCCTTATTTATCATACTTAATATACAGTTACATGTCCTATTTTTTTAAATTTAAATGGATAAATAACTAAGAATAACAAAACTGTGCAATGAGAAATTTTGCAGTGGTGATAAGTACTTTTTGACATATTTCTATTTCAACTGGTATCTTTAACACTGACTATATACATCCAATCCCAATCTGTACAGATGACAGCAAGGTCACTAAATGACCACATAATTTTGACAAGAGAAAAGGAAAACTTTGTTATAATACCTTTCTAATAGGTAAATCATCTATAAACTCTTTAATAGAATCTCTACAAGCTTGTATTCTATACTGACCATTTGGTTTGTTTTTATCAGAACATACTTTAGCTAACATCATATTGGGTGCAATACCTGAAAAACATTTAAAAATATAACAATACTCAGTATTTTTTCATTAAATAGAATGTAGAATATTGTCGAACCCTCTTATCCATAGATGGGATTCATAGATTGACATGAGAACTTCAATGATCAGAAATCAAAAATGACTGTTTTCATACAAGAGGGGTTGCATGTTTTAGATTATTCAAATGTTTTTTCATTTTTAAAATATTTTTATCTTAACTATGATTGCTTTGTCTCATATCAAAAGGCACATGTTTGATCTAATTACCTGCACTAGCTGTAAGCCTTGTTCTCTGTTCTATTCTACACCTCATTTCATTAACAGCATCCTCTATATCTTTATCAAACAGCTTGACTTCATAGGGTGGATAGGGTTTATTACATACAGGGCAAATCAATAGCATTTCTTTCTCTATTTGCGAAGAGTTCGAAAACTGAGTAGAATCTGGAGTCACAAATTCAATGTCATTGTCACCATTCTCTAAATTTTCATCACTTCCGGGTGAAACAGGACTTTCTTGTATTACAGTTATCTCAGAAGCTCCATCTCCAATTTCTGCACATTTCTCATCAGGAAGGCAGATTTTATTGTCATATATCACAGAGTTACGTAAATTAGAATTCAAATCACACATACACTTAGACTCATCATCCACAGAACAATTTTTAACTAAAAAGGACCTGTCTTTGTCTGAAGAAGTTTCTCTGGTCTTCATATGATCTGTAAAATCTAAATAAGCCTCATCTAAACTTAATGGACAATAGTTCGGATCATAGTCTACCATTATAGCTCTGATTTCTTTACTGACGGCTGAATATTTTTCCTGATTTGATTTCACCAATATAAGATTAGGACACAGTTTTAAACCAATGAATCCAGGCATTGCAGCTCTGACACCAAATTTCCTTGCCAGATAATTAGATGTTGACTGAAAAAAAAGGAGACATGTTCAAAAAATATCTGAAGAAGTTGGTTATGCAACCATTTGCAAAATTTCCTTGTTTACAACCAGCTTTCTGGGAAAGATCACTGTCACGGAGGATCTGTGATCTATAAAAGCCAGAAAACACCCCTAGTACCATTTTGTCCCCTTTTCACATTTCACGGATTCTGATCATGAACTATTACACTGTTTAATTCTCATACTCCTGAGACAAATACAAATATTTACCAGCATTCCCATCCCCCCTACAGCCATTGGTTTATATCTTAAACTTGGATTATCTCTCATCTCTACAGCAGCATAGAAAGCATCCATATCAACATGTACAATATATCGACTTAAATCAAACAAACTCTCTAGCTCTGATAGCAAACCATCAGCCTGAAAAAACAATTATGAATGCAAAAAAGAAATCTCTTTTGACAAAACCCTACAATTGAGTCAAAGTTAAAAAGGTATATATACCTATGAATCAGGATTTTATTTCATTTAAATATCAAATTCATTTCACAAGTTAAAATTGTCATTCCTTATTAAAGGGGGGTAACCCTTCTTTAATTTCAAAATTGTAAACCTGTTTTAAACCATGTTGTAATTGTTCTGCGGTTATTTTCTCCATTCTTCTTTTCTGTTCTTCAATTCGTTCTTTCACTTGTTCTTCCTTCTTCTTTTCATTTTCGAAATATTTTGATCCTAGACAAATAAAGAGACACATATGTAACAAAATCGAGTTGCACAAGATAACACATGTGATGTTATTTTCACATCAGTTTTAGGTACAGTCTCAATAGGTGGATATGAGATACACAACCGATAAGAATTCATCCTTCTTTCACTTCATGTACATATCATAACCATAAAAATTTCATCAAAAGTAATGTGTTCTTACCCTGAAAGTGTCTAGGCTCCATACAATCATACTGGGTGACCATGTCAGGCCCGTAGTTGAGCCCCCCTTCCTCTGAGACCCTGGGCTACCTCTGGGCCTGGGTTATGTTACCAAGGATAGACAAACACATATTTACCTTTCGATGCTTCATAAATGATCTGGTTGATCTTTGCCTTATCTAATCCCTCCATTCCTGCTTTATGATCATTTAACTCCATCCTTGTCATTAGAGATGAGGGCTTGGATACACTATCTGATTTCTGTTTACTAGTATCAGGGCTATCAGTGTTCATCTTATCATCTGTCGGATTACCTAAAAATGAAAAAAAAAAAATGGACTTGAGTTCTTACAATTACTATTTGATAGAAAACTTTACCATAGAATTTGTTTCAACAATACTGACCAAACTTTCACACTGTTTTTAAGGACGAAATTCTCCCTATATTTCTAGCCTATATCATTTAGGCCTAATAGCATAGTTCACTGAGCAACTGTGGCTCTCTCTGAATTGTTTAAATAAATTACAAGTCTAAGGTTGTAATATCTGATTGACCACAAGTATAATATTCATACCATTAGACATGGAATTACCAGTTCTGGGTGGAGCTGTTTCTCTGGGATTTTCAGAATACACAGGTTGATCCCAGTTAGTGTCATTCCAATCTTCCTCATCGCTTACATGCATTTCACTTGCATTCATAGTTCTTTTTTAGGTGATAGAATTTACTGCAACAGAAATGAACATCATCAACTTTGAGGCAGTTTGTTATCAACATGGCCATAAATGTATAAGCTTATACAGTGAGCTTAGCTTTATTTGGTCTAACTGACATGTGAAAGAAAGTGCCTGAACTATAATGACTTAACCCTATTTGACTATTTGAGTTAAAATCGAATTCGTTACATGTTCTCTCCAAAAGAGTAGGCCAAAAGTTGTGAGTTGACATTTCATAGACACCAAACTAAACGATCGTTGGATCACTTGCGACTTAAAACCTAAATTATCAGTGATCAATCAATGAGAAACAGTCATGATGAAAAATGAACTAAAAATAGAATAAACCGAACAGTGACAGTAATCATATCTATTGATTCTTCACTATTTTTCAACTTCTATAGATCTATATAAACAATGCACAACGGTTATCTTGCACAACTCTGTGTTTTCTTGATGTGGTGTGACTAAAGTCTGCAAACAATACTAAACAATCATAAACAGTCATAGCCATGTAACACAAAATATAGCTATTTATAAAAGAGTAAAATATGGTATGTAGGCTATAAAGTCACTTGGAGAAAACCTTGGCCAAAAATCAACATGGACAATTACAACAGTATTGCTAGTGCTTTCAATTAGGTTCTCTCTTTAAGAATTCAAGACATTGTGGATATCTGTATACCTCTAAGGGAATAATCCAAAACGGTCTCCTTACAAAAGAATTTCGCATCTCCACAGAGCTATTTTGCTTTAGATTAATAAAAAGCTAAGCTAGTGCTATTACTTATTTCATTACATCTTTGCATTTAAGGTCAACAATAACAATTAACATTCTAGATATTCCACAACAATAGCAATTTCCTTTCTTAGTATAGTAATAGTCACTTTTACTGAAGAAATTCCCAATGTAAGTTTGACAGCTTAAGAACAATCAATTTACATTAATTTAGTCAGCAATTACTTTCAACATCATCTGATCTAGTTAGTTAGTCCTACATTGAAAAATATTGAAAATCTTGTTTTAACTACGGTATGTTAAATGTTCTCTTAGTGAAAAATTTATAATTCAAAACAGAATTATACCAATTTGAATACCTCCTTAAAAAATTTTAACGCTAGCTGACATTTTGAAAAGAACTTTGCAGTATAAAGTTGTTTTTTTTTCAAGCCTTTGGAATAAGAGCGAAGTGAAGTCATGTGCCTGGAAGATGTGATAATATACTTATTATATATAACTTAGTTTTCTACACCCCAAATTTAGTAAATGTAGAAAATACATGGCGTTTCTCATGAGCACAGTTCGTGTCCAAACGAATAGGCTAATGGAATACTTCGTATACATTTAAACGAAGGCTTCTATTATACCCCATGCAATGCCTTTGCCAATAACTATATTCATTTTCTTATCGCCTTGGTAACATATTTCTTGCTTCAGAAACTTTATTTTAGGAACAAAACTTCACCGCCAGATACGATATTTGATCTGATTTGTTTAAAGTGACGGTTAGTGTAATTAAAGAATCGTGTTAAATTAAATGAACCATCTGATAGTTATGGCGAACACAACAACTGGTACCAATTACTCTCAAAAATTTGTGGATAGCTCTCTCGCGTCAGTGACACATCCATCCAGTGTTTACAAGGCACATTCAAACATCTATTCATTAAACATGTTAAACTGTCGAATAATCCATAAATTGGACTAATAATTGAGAATATTCATCTATAGTATTGATTTAATTCAATCTGTTTTGTGTACATACAAAAAGAACTTTTAAGTAAAATACGCACTTTATCTCTTTATCTTATAGTTTATCTATCAGGCAATAAAATAAATATGGTTTCTCAATTACATTACGAAATAAAACTGAAGTAAATGTAACAAACAACAAATTAGTCTTGGGAATTTCAGGAACGCTGTTTTAATTTATCCTTTATCCTTATCATTTCAATGGGTTACTTTAACGGTAGAATTGGTTTTGGCACAGGTGGCAAAACAGTTATAATTTGTGTTAGAAAGTTAGTTTTTACAACCCAATTTGAAGTTGCAGCACTCAGAAAGTTTGGCGTAATGTAGACAACATAATCGTTATTTGATATCTTGCACCCATGTTACAACCGTCAAATTTCAAGAGGCAGATAATTGGAACAGTCTAAAAACTTTTAGAAGTTATTTCAGAAAAATGGCTGCTAGATTTTCTTCACATAACAACGATACGGTAGGTTGTTTTATGATTATGGTTTGCATCTTAGGGTGATTAATGATAACTGTTTACTTTGATTGTATTGTGTTTTGTTCTATTTCAGATGGACAATGATTCCTTAGCAGATTTTATGGTAAGCGAAAATTTTCTTTGTTTACCACAACGAACGACAAAGGGAATAACCCGGTCAATTTGGCGTCTACTGTTTTTATTTACAATTTATTGCAAATCAGGGTTAACCATTTCCGTACATCTAATGGTACTTTGGTATATTTCAAGTAGTCTTATCAAAAGCAATGTACATGTACAAATTATCACATGGAATACAATTTGGTATGTAGATAAGGTGTGTTTTCGTGGAAAAGAAACAATAAGCATGGACAGAAGGCATTCTATCAGAATTAGGTTTTTTTTAGTACAGTCAAACGTATAAAGCAAGCGGTCAGGGGAATTCTCTTTTGTGGCTGTGGCTGTTTACTGAAAGGCCAGACTGTTTGTCAAGTTTGATTCCCAACATGTTGCCAAATTATCTTGATGCTTACACAATCCTAAACTATCTCTGCGATAAGTTTTAACGACATGTATCGAAGTCGAAGCTCATAACCGTGAATCGTAAATGTTACTTTTTTTGTTAGCAGATATTCAACGAAAACGATTCTATCAGTGAACTTGAAGAGTCCAAGAGAAATTTAGTTGGTTATCTGGAGGTGGTCATTGCTATTTTACTCCTTGTGTGTAACCTGTTTATAGTATGTGTGATTCTTGCATCAAAGAAACTCAGAAACTCATCAAAGCATCTTCTAATTTTGAATCTCAGCTTTGTGGACTTAATCAAGATCTTTGCCTTAATATTAAATGTGTATATGATGTTTGGAAGCAAGCTGTCTTATGAATGTGATCTTCAGTATATTTCACTTTTGATTACTGATTTGACAACTGCATTAAGTGGTGCCTTCATATTCCTGTTACACATTGACTATCTGGCTTTCAACAACACCACGTCGATATATCCTGGTAAACGACTTATTGGTCCAGTTCTACTCTCGTTCTTCTGCTATATCATCACGGGAGCAATGTTAGTCCCACTTTACGTCCTTCATTTGCAGCCAGAAACTTACGATATATCAACCGGAAACTGTTGGCCATTTAACAGAGAAGGTACTTTCTTGCTGTACGAAGCTTTGTCTGTGGTTCCCCACTGCCTGTTGATTCTAGTGTCTGGTGGAATGACAATCGGTGCCTACATATCCCGATCTTATTTGTTGAACATATCCAAGGAACTAAATCTTGTACGTCGTCCAGTAGATCTGAATCTAGCAGGTGCCCTGACAGTACTTCTACACTGTGTACCATATCTTTACAGTATTGTCAATAAACTCGTCTGTGTCTGTCTTCAATGTTCTGAAATGACCGGATTAGATATTCTCATACCTTTACTGCCTTTCTTTAAATGTGTTATCCTTCCCTTTGTTTGGCTCTTCTGTCCAGACTTCAGAACTGCACTCAGTTTGTGCTGCACAAAACGTCAAAAGAGAGTTACCATAAAACTTCCTGCAGAAATTGAAAACAACAGGATTGAAAATCACACAAATGAGACAAATAATTCTAAATCTCCGAAGCTGAAAACTAAGGCAGAACCAACACCACCAGCTATCCCAGAATCTGAAGTCATCGAATCTATTCCGGATGAAAACAATGAAGAAAAGGTTTTGATGGTTTAGGGTTTTGAATGTGATTTAAACTGTTGAAATACTCTGATGAATTCTCTACTATCTCGGATCAAAAAAGACTGTTGAGATTTCATTAATGTACTTTTTTTTTTATTTTTGAATCTGAATTAAAAGCGGATTGCATTATCTGATGACCAATTATTATACCTTTTATACCATGTTGATGTTGTTAGATTATGATAAACGTGTAGCTCATTAGTTATTAGTTTGTAATAAATATGTATTCTCTCGAGTCGTCTGTCAAAATAATTATCTAATGATGCAGAAACCACGTAGGGCTTATATATTTGTTAACCGTTAAAAGTTAATTTTATGGTTCAATCACAAATGATCATGGTTGTATTCATGTATACTAGTTTTAACCTTATACAAAACTGTAATGTACTGCAGTAGACAATGTCAGTACTTGATCTGAGCTTCCTTAATTGCAGACTAAACTACCCCGTCTTCGCCTTGCACAATCATGTCTTGCATTAAAGCCGCTAGCAATTAAATTTCGTGAATTTTATTGAGCTTTCATTCAAATTGATGTGGATGAATTTCAATGTAAAAGACTATTGGAAATGTCATATTTTAATGTCAATATAATATAACCTTTGATTTGCTCCACCATAATAACTTAATAGGGTGAAAGTGGGGCATTTATATTCATTGCTTCTAAATTTGGTTTGTAAAGTGTCTCACTGGTTATCAGTACAAACCAGTAGAAGGAGCAGTGGATAGTGCTGGAATAACATTGGAAGTAAGTAAATTTCTTTAATAACTTGCTTGTGGCCATTATTGTGTTGAACTGCGCCTAACAGACATAAAATGATGTATTGTAGGCACGGTAATGTATGGTAGAATCCTTTAAGAACATCATTGATTATGCGTCCATGTCTTACACATTCGAGACGTATCCATACCACATTATGGTCTCCGATCACATAGCTCTCTATTAGATCCTCAGCTTCCACTTCTCAATTGTACTTTGACATCTTTCTTTGTAGTTGATGGTAAGGTGGGTTATACGATAGGCACACAATCATGGAAGGTCTGTCACTACTAAACGTCACTTATGATGAGGAAGATTATTACACGCATGAAGATTCAAACTACCCTGAGGTAAATGATATTATTAGTACTTAATGCACTGTTAATCCAGTCTGTAGAGTAGAACTACATTTATTTGTATCTATTCCATACCATTCCATTTGGTTACTTTTCTGTTTGAATTTCTTTTTGCGGTGCAACTCGGTTTTATCACTTCCAGATAATCCCTTTACTAGAAATAATTTTTCACGTATTAGTTTGCGGCAACTCGGGGGTCCTCAACACTTTCGTGTAATCTACAATATTTATAAAACAGAAGAGAAACTGTGCTTGTAATTTGGCTGCTAAATTCCTGAATGCGGGTAAAGTTAACAAAGTGCCTTAGTTGATTTAAACAACCATTGATTGGAGATTATGACAGGTTTACTTTCATTTCAGACCGGCATAGGTCGAGATAATACCTTCCGATTTTTCAACCCGGTTTCCCCCTGTCAGTAATGCAGGTGCGAGGGGCTGAAAAAGCGTCTAGTCGTTCGGATGGGACAATAAACCGAGTCCCCGTGTGCTACAGGCTGTGCACGTTAAAGATCCCTCGACAGTTGGAAATCGAAAAAGAGCAGGCTAATGCCGCTTTCCTGGCAAAATTTCCCTCATTGCACCCTGCATGGCGTCGCCCGTCTTCATTAGCCGGCATGGTGCAGAAAAGTAGGACGTAAAACTCCATTCATTTCATTTCATTTCATTTTAGAAAATCAGTACGATATTGGTGGATGTCATTGTGTACTCGATTACTGCTATTGGTGCCATCTTTAACTTAGGATCCTTTATTACAATACTGGTAACAAAGAAAATGACAAGTTCACCGAAATATATCATCATAATGAATATGAACATTGTATTTCTGGTGATGGGTTTGTTTGTTATAACTGGTGAACACAGAACAGCCGAGAATGGTAACTGCAGTCTGTATTATCATGCAGTCCTTTTTGAGTACCTAGCTGTAGGTTCCATCTTGTCTTTGAGTGTGCTTTTGAATATTGATTATATCATGAGAATTGTCAAAAACAAATTTTACGAAACCAACAAGAAGTATGTTCTGTTTGCTGTTTTACTGTTGTTGGTATACGTTATTAATGCTTTACTTATTGTTCCTTATTACATTGAAAAGTATTCGATTCAAGAACGTGAAGTTGGGTATGCCCGCACAAAGAAATTTTGTGCAGTGGTATTTCCAAGTGTGCACGATTTGATGATTTTGACGTTACTTTGCTCAGTTCCTCAATCTATTTTTGTCATCATCACATTAATCTTGTCAATCATCGTATTTTCGGGATACAAGAAATCCCAGATTAACACCCCTACCCCCACTGAGTTCATTGTCATTGATATTATATTACTGCTTTTCTGTATCATTCCACCTGTAGCTTCTCTGTTGAACAACAGTTCGTCACTGTATGTATTCCTGATTGTATGGGTTCTACCTTTTTTCATGACAATTATTGTACCATTGCTTTGGCTCATTGATAATGAATATCGCCAGGCCGTCAAGGATTTATTGTGTTGTCGATGTCGTAAAAATAAAGATGCCGATTCTTATGAAATGATGTAAGAAATTAACGGTTTGCCCCTGACTGTAAAATAAATTTGTTGAAATTTCTCTCGTCAGCTATGAAAAACATAGAGAACGTGTGAGGTCAAATTTTAAGATTGTTGCAATTGAATTGTAGTAGATTTTCAAAGAAAATGTTTGTCAATTTATCAGAAAATGTAGTCAATTTATCAGAAAATGTAGTCAATTTATCAGAAAATGTAGTCAATTTATCAGAAAATGTAGTCAATTTATCAGAAAATGTAGTCAATTTATCAGAAAATGTAGTCAATTTATTTGAAAATGCAATCGGGTAAAGTGATGTATCTGGAAGTCCACTTTTTCCGCAAATCAGAAATTATGGTGAATTTATCTGAAATCATGGTCAGCGTATCTAGAATCTTGGAGCTATACTTTAATTGTTATATTTTGGAGGTATTTTCTATTAAATGCTATTAGGGTATGTTTTTAAATCAAGTTGTATTTGACATATTTGTGTTTTTTGTAAATAATAATAACGTTGATCTATTGTTGATTACTAATTTATTTTAGTATATTATATTGTTTATGTATATAAAATATTTAATCCCTTTGTATTTCCCTTTCCACGTCAAATATTAAGATGTTTAAAACAACACTTTCCCTATTCCAATTTGTTAATCTACGGGACATAATGTGCAATAATATGTATTATACAATTAATGTTTGTGTATCTTAATAAATATTGTAAAAAAAACAGAATTAAGTTTGGGTCTTATTTCAAAGAAATTACTTGAAATTCAGTAACTGGTTCCTTTTTCAGGTTTCTGAAAGTAGATCTTGATGCTTTGTGTGTACTTCGTATAATTCAGTACCGATGTACTTGCTGCATGGCCAAGATTTTAGGACTGGACACCTTTGTGTAAGGATCTGTTACCAATTATCCAGGATTTTTTTTAACCTTTTTATGCAGAAATTATTTGAAATTGTCAGTCATCTCGGTGTGGTTTAACGCCTCTCTGTACAGTTTTATAGTTTCAAGCAAAGGTCCGGACGAACAGGAAATCAGCCATTACTACAGCATTTGTTGATGGTATTTATCCATAAAAGAATGTAAAAAGCCTGTCATTATCATACGACCCTGTAATATTTATATAGTTTATAGCTTAACATTTACAATTCAACTGACTTGGTAATTGGTCAATTACATCTTCAATTATTCTCCTAAATAATTCCATAACAATTTGTGTATTATAAACAAGGGATTCAGCTTATCGTGTCGACCATCACATGTTCGTATATGTAGGCGGTAAGTCTTTTTATTTTATACCCGCGTACTGCTGATTGTATTTGGGGAAGGGGTGCATCGAGCAAGCAATTGCAATGTTGCTATCCTTCAGATTATCTCTAATTATTTTTTTTTAGCAACACATGTCCCACAAGGTTCAGAAAAGTAGAAACTCCATTCATTTCATTTCATTTAGCAACACAAGAATCCACTCTATGGAGTTTTTTGTCTACTAACTCATATATAGCTCATAGTGGAATAATGCTATTTTCTTACGTCATTGTATAATCATTTTACTGCTATCGTATATTATATTATATTTCATCGATAGGGTCACTTTCGTGGAAGATAATCATACACACACTTTATAAGTAATGGATCATTCTGACCGAAAGGTGGGTACCAGTGTACTTATATTTAATTCATAGTACCCACATTAATACATTTGATTTGGACCTTTAATGAATGAAGAAATAACATATATTTAACTACATATAGTAATCTTCACAAGCATTTCAAAAGAGTGGCGCAACCAACAAGCTTGGAATAATTTCAGTCATTACTTCACGCTACAAGCTACCACGATATACCTTTCTAATGAGGCTGACCCGCCTTTGCCCAACCCCAAATCTCCTCCCAACCGAATTTTGAATTCCTTATCAATTTACATATGGCAAGAAAAGCTCGAGAGCCCCCTCGGCAATTCTGTGGCCACATAGTCTCCTTATCTCCCACTCGCCCACCCCAACGCCACTGAAGTCATTTCGTATGACCTTATTTATGTTTCAGCTACAATATGATTTTTATGGTGATCCCGATTTTGAAGATATTGGTGTTTCAATACGACTGATAATTCTGCTGATTTTCCAGATTTCTTTGATAGTCTTTAACCTAGGCTCAATATTAGTCATATTGTCTTCTGAAAAACTACGAAAATTACCCAAATATGTCTTGATAATTAACATTTGTATCGTTTGTTTGGTTCAAGCATTATTCTTGCTTTCGGTGTTCTTACTGGTACAATTTTATGATTACATATTACAAGATTATTGCTATATTCATTATTTTACATATTTGCTAGGTTTCTTATGTATAACACTTATTGTCTCATTTTGTGCAGCAGTTAACACAGAATATATAACAAGAACCAAATCACCAGGATCTTTTGAAGGTTCCAGACAATATTATGTTGTAGCAATCGTAATAATTTTATGTTACTTTGTCAATATTGTTGTATTAACGCCTATTTTTCATATTTTCGTTAAGCGTTTGATTTATGATTTTCATGGAAAAGAAGTTTGTTCGTATATGATTTTGAATGATAAACACAGATTTATGCTGTTTGCTTTGGCTTCAATTCCTCACAGCACCTGGGCATTTATCTCTGCTATTGCCGTCGTCGTTTATTACGTACGGTATAAACTTTGTCGCAATATTTATATACCTCACGATATTGTAACAGCCACTATAGTCATTTTTGGATTGTGCTTTTTGCCAGTGCTGATAGATTTTTGCGTGGATGATATCAGTTCAGTGGTTGGTATAAAGATATTACGATTAGCTCCCTTGTCAATTGGTTTCTTTCTGCCATTTATTTGGATGATGAATCCAATATATCGACAAGCTGTGAAAGATTTTATTACTTGTAATTGCTGTAAACCTAATCTAACCAGCTCTTATGAACTTGTGGGTCACCAAAGAGTATGATAATTGTATTTAAAAGGATATTAACCTTATAACTTTATATTTATTAAAACATACAATCAATCAAGTTGTGTTGTTCAAAACGACCACCTCATTTTTCAGCAAGGTCTGTTATTCTTTAAGACACCTCGTGGAAACTGCAATGCCACCTATCAAAACTTGCAGGTTACAGACAGAATGCTTGAGCTGCCACCCAAAAGACTTCAGCCACTGCCAATCAAGACTAGGATGTTGAAACACATGCAACATTATTTGGGGGAAACTCGGGGGGGGGGGGGGGGTTTATTGGGTTCAACATTTTAATGGTCAAACATAAAAGGTGATCAAAGCTTTGCCAGTGAAAAGACATGATAAAATTGCAGCAGGGTTTGTTTATATATAAAGGGACATAACTATAAATAAAAGCCATCTTTAATTTACAATTTTACAAGTACTGTACAAGTTTCAGATCAATCATTTCACATAGCAATTTACCATTGCCATCCTGGAGGTTTTCTACACACTTCAGTTTATTGGGTTCAACATTTTAATGGTCAAACATAAAAGGTGATCAAAGCTTTGCCAGTGAAAAGACATGATAAAATTGCAGCAGGGTTTGTTTATATATAAAGGGACATAACTATAAATAAAAGCCATCTTTAATTTACAATTTTACAAGTACTGTACAAGTTTCAGATCAATCATTTCACATAGCAATTTACCATTGCCATCCTGGAGGTTTTCTACACACTTCAGTTTATTGGGTTCAACATTTTAATGGTCAAACATAAAAGGTGATCAAAGCTTTGCCAGTGAAAAGACATGATAAAATTGCAGCAGGGTTTGTTTATATATAAAGGGACATAACTATAAATAAAAGCCATCTTTAATTTACAATTTTACAAGTACTGTACAAGTTTCAGATCAATCATTTCACATAGCAATTTACCATTGCCATCCTGGAGGTTTTCTACACACTTCAGTTTATTGGGTTCAACATTTTAATGGTCAAACATAAAAGGTGATCAAAGCTTTGCCAGTGAAAAGACATGATAAAATTGCAGCAGGGTTTGTTTATATATAAAGGGACATAACTATAAATAAAAGCCATCTTTAATTTACAATTTTACAAGTACTGTACAAGTTTCAGATCAATCATTTCACATAGCAATTTACCATTGCCATCCTGGAGGTTTTCTACACACTTCAGATCCCAGAATTGTAATATCCTCTAAGTGCTTAGCTGGTATGTTAGAGCTCATTTGAGGCATTTCATTATGAAACAATGGATGTATGGTAACGAATAAGGCTGGTCTTGTATGTTTATATTTCGAAGACAAAGACTTCTGTAGAGATCTACATGAACTTAAAGTAGATCCAGTGAATAACTGCAGCACTATTAATGATGACACATCTTCTACAAAACTCGTCACACCATCAGAGTCAAAACTCCCATTTTTAGACAAAATACACAATCTTTCTAAATGTTTACAAGAGGTACAAGCTGAGAAAAATGTTTGATCTAATTTCATATGTGGTTGTTCTAAACGAAAGTCTAGAAGATTTTTAAAATGTGGTAATGCTGAACACAATGAAAGCATGTAGCTACAATTGCCATTTAGTCCTAGATAAGCAATATACAATTGTTGAAGATTGATACAACCTTTGGCTATAGCAATTAAACTATGACCCTTTAATATTCCATGTAAACCAGACAACTGCAGATACTTTAAATTCTTCCACTGACTAATACACAATATATCCTCATCACGCACACGAAATGATGAACATGCTTGGTAATGGAATGTTTTTGGATGCATACCAAAATATTTATTGAAACCTGATCTAAAGTCAGCACCAATCAATTCAAAGTTTTCAACATCAGCACAAAGCGGAATAAGAGTTGTTTCTTTGGGGTTTAAAGTAGCAGTATTTAAAATCTTTTCACATTCATCAACAGATGTAGAACCAGTTTGATTCGATAACACATCAAATCCCACTCTTCGCTTCTTTCCAAAATTATTACTGAAATCACAGGCAGAAGCAGATCTTTTACCAGTTACATTACTCGCAGACACATCATTCTCTGTGTTTTTCTTGATAGATTTTAAGCAACAAGGTGAAAATGCAACACTTTTTAATGCTGAATTTATGGACAACATTTCACACAGACTACCTCCAGAGCTCAGCTCATGAAAATGAATACCAGCTAGGTTAATTTCTTTCAATTTAGTTAAATTCAGCAACAACATTTGGAGTCCAATAATTTCCACAATGCCATCATCATTTGTGGTTATATTATGACAGTTGTTCAGGTTGATGCTAATCAAATTAGGACAACATTCTGCAATCACTCGCAAGCTATTTGAAAATAGCTTATTATTATCAGCAAGACTTAAGAATTGAAGTTGTACTGCTTTTTCTAATCGAAATAGTGTGTTTGGTACCTCAACCGCAGCACGTGACAGATCCAGATTTTCCAAATCTTCCACTTGCTGTACACATTTAACAAAGTGCAGTTTATGTTGCAGTTTCTCTAAATTTGAAACAGGTTGGAGGATGGTTTTGAATTTTAAAGGTAGTTTACACACTTCAAGCAATGTTCCAAAGAAAAACATTCGAGCAACAGGATCAATGGCATCATTGATTGATAGCACCTTCAAATTCTGTAGGTTTTCTTTCTTGTTGATTTGAGGCTGAAGAAAGTACTTTGGCATTCCTTTTGTACAGCTTGGATGTCCCAGAATATGAAGCTCCTCTATATTCTTACAGTATTCAAAAAATGAGGGCTGTGACAGAAAATGCATAGATATACTCTTAGAAAATTCCAGCTGATGTTTGAAATGGACACAGATTTTTTTGATATTTGCAAGTGTGTTTTGTGCAACTGTATTTTGTGTAAGTTCAGTATGGAATTCTTGGATATCCTGAGTGCTAAAAGCAAAAGTCTCCAGTTTCACCAAAGTAGACATCAATCGGCATAGTCTTTTTACAGAGATATTGCACTGTAGAACCTGAAGATTAGTGATATTAACACACTTCGATATAGCTGTTTCCAGTACATTTCCTGTTAACCAATAACAATAATTCAAATTCAAACTGTCAATATGGGTTGTTGTGCTACTCAAAAATTTTTGAAGGATTTTATCTGTCAAAGAATAACATCCATCAAAATTTGAAATACGAACGAGAGAGCGATCGTGGCACATTTGAAAGAATCTTTTGTTAACATTGCTTACTTCACACAAGTCTATAGATGGTAAAAATCGAAGAATTTTTAGCAAAACATCGTCAGAAAGTAAACAAAAATTATCGTCCATGGGCGCAGCCATTTTTATTTTCATTGATCAGAATGGTGGCGAGTGAAAGTTGGTTATGGATCTTTTAGTATTTAAAAAAAATAATTTGAAATTAAAAACTAAGGCCAAAGATTAAAACATTATCAGTCTAAGTACACATTACACATACACATTATTCAGTCCTGATAACAAATTGTGGCCATAGGATAAGGATCAAGTGATTAATGATCCAGTTACAATTTTACATGCAACTAATCTTTATTGTAAACATGAGTTACGTCCCTTTAACCAGTTTCGCGGGAAATCTCACGTGCAGAGACCTGGCGGCTTCTGATCACACAGTGTCATTTGGTAGTGATGATCACTTTGCAATCAGTCTATACCCAATGAACATTTTAAAGTTGCTGTTCTTGATCCAGAAAACTCTATCATTGAAATGACCAGAACATCAAGAAGGTAATAGGCTATTAAGGAAAGAATGAAATAATCGTATCACCTCCATTGGCAATCAATAATGGGCTAAATAGTCAGGTTTTGAATCTGAATCTAGGCACTGCAGATTTCCCCCCCCAGAAAGCCCCATGCACATGGCCAAATGTGTTCATGAACTGTTGAAAATGCTTATGAAAAGTTTTGTTTCTACTCTTTAACATGATCTTTGAATTCAAATGAAATACCTCAATATTTAGAAAATAAGGCAATTTTTTTTTTTAGGTGTTAGCGATTTTTTGCCTTTAGGGCCTAGTAGTGAGGGTGGAGGCTTTGAGAATTTTTTATTCAATTAGACTTAATGGTCTCAAAAACACTGTTTCATATTACTGAAATGCAATCCAAAAACACGTGTATTACTTTGATATTAGGTATTAAGGTAAATTTCCATTTAAGTGCTCCTGAGCAATGGGCCTAGTAGTGTTCAGGATGTCAGGTAAAATGCTATATAGTACATACAGTACAGAATTACCATACATTATTAATACATTGTGTAAATAATTGATTACCTTTTTATTGTATTAAGCATTTCAATGGTAAATTGTCGAGGCTAATTAGATCAATACTGTACAATAGATTAAACTATTTCATGATATTGTCTAATTGTTTTCATACCTTGGCTTTTAATCTTAGATTATGACTAATTATACCATTGGCGTAACAAAGCTGACTGGCCCGTGTGGGGGGATTATGGTTAATGATAGGTAGTAGACCACTATTTCTTCTTGTGACTCAGCATGTTATGTTCATAAACACTTTATGTAGGTAAGGTAGGCTAGGTCTGTTTTCAAGAAATTTGACAGCATGTCAAAATCCAAATAATGTATTTAGATATATCAGCTTTGAAATGTTTTTGTATTGACACACAAGTTTTGATATCTATTTTTTTTTTAATTATAGATATCATGAAAGATATGGACACTTTAGAACATTCTAAAAAGGGTTCACCACCACCCCAGCTCTTGATATGGGGTTGTAGTGATTTTGGACAAAATGGCCATGGTAGGAAAGAAAATGTGTCATTTGAAGACAGCAGTTTGGATTTTATTGATGGTTTGAAAGTGAAATTTATGGATTGTGGTTCTAGTCATACAGTCATTGTAACAGGTTAGTATCAGCATTATTAGCCTACAGTTATAAGTTAAACAACTGTATTTTTTAATTATGGTAGATTATTAAAACCAATATAAGCTTACACAAAGTAGTTTATTTGCTTTCAATTTACTTATCTCAATATATACCAATTTACAGTAAGATAGCTAGTTTTGGAAATTAGGAAATTTATATTTCTGATATAAGACTTCAAGGATATGAACACAAGCTATCTCCACAGATCTGTTATAAATACAGTAGTGAATTTTCTCATACATCTGGTGATGCCTGGATATATTTAATTACTTTAAATGTTGTTTTAGATGAAACTGTTATTAAAAAGTCAAGTTTGCTGTAATATTATTGATGGCTACTTATTGCAGTGCTAGTAGGTAGTATGGCAGGACATGCTCACCCTTCAGGCACACCTGATGCCACTCTGATCAACTGAGCATTCATTTGATAGAGTACTTACTTAATACTTTCTTTATTAGTTATATATGTATTTCAATATTGTAAATTTGGTCAGTGAATTGTTGATGTAGCAAGTGGAAGGGAGTTTTATAATTAAGTTGTATTTGATTATGCCTGTGGTAACCACCACACTGTGATTCCAAGTGTTATTTATTGTTTACAGTGTAAAGTGATGTGTAGAGTATGACACTGATAGTTTATTGTTAACTCTCTTACACAGTCAGCTCTTATTTCCTGTATCATGGCTCTCCACAATCCCCCTTGTCATTCTATCATTTTTTGTTCTTCAAGTCAGCAAGTGTGCCAATTTCCTATAACTTGAAAGAAGTAATGTAGCTGTCAGTCAATTCTGTTTCCTTCAAACCCTAAGTTCCTGTCATTTACATAAAACTGTTTATTCACATTCCCTTTTTTTCTCGCCTTGTTTTCAAACAATCCAGACTAAAGCAAACAACTTTCTTAGAAGTGATTTGAGGGTCATAGAGAATGCGTTCGGATTCTATTTAAAAACCAAAAGTGTGCAAGAGTTGAAATTGTTAAAGGAGATTTGAACTTGCATTCATTCAATTTTTTACATTTATCAATGTGAACTGTAATAGAAATGTCATTCAAGTCGCACCAAATTACATAAAGTTCCCTCAATATTCTGACTGTTGTGAAAGCAATTTATGAAAGGTTTAATAGGCTGAGTCATCTTAACCAATCTTGTTTTTGCTGAATTTCATTTTTATTTGATGTCAATTTTGAGGGGTGAAAAAGATGAAATTGATAGCATGATGTTGTCTTTTGGTGTTTTGTTGTAAATTAAGTTTGTATAGAGGGCAGCCTCAGTCAATATTAAAGGTTTTTTTTTGTCAAGAATGTTGGAGATTTTTTCTTTGTGTGATCTCTAATCTGTAATAAAACACTTTCTTTCTTCAATAGTAATTTTACTGAAGTTGCAGTTTTAATATATTATAAATTCTTCAATCATATAATTACATATAAAAAAATAAACTGAAAATTATTTTCACCTGAATATGTAGGTTGAAACACTGATTAGTTTTATTGTGAAAGATTTTTAAAAAATGAAGAAAACTGATTGTATTATTGATATAGATATGCATTTTTTGTGGGCATACATTAAAATTTCTTGCAAACTATTATCCTAAGGTTTCCTCTTTAAAACAAATTTGTCTGTTTGAGTGTAACAATTTGTCATGAATTTGAAGTTTAAGTCTCCTCGTAATAAAAGGAATTGTTGTCAATATTTACAGCCTTAATACCCACATCATTATAATGTTATCATTAATCTGTAGTCATTGGCTCTGCTGTACATTATCATGTGAACCGTGTATTATTGTCCAATGATAAAATATAAGAGGTATGATGGTAATGTGACACAAGGCTAGAGGTTTTGTTAGTATAAATCATAGGCCACCAACCTGAGCTGTTCCGTAGCTGCCCTAGGCTACCAGTCTTTGTTCATTAGATCATTTGTATCTGTGGTTTATGAGCTTTCATAATTACCATGTTGAAATGATTAATTGCTGACTGCCAGGGTAGGGGTAATCACTCTGATTTCATCTCTTCATCTTGCCACTAAAGAGAAGAAAATGTAAAACCGCTGCCTTTTCAATATCACCACCGTCTTCCTCGTTTAATCTCATCTCGGTTGATCATATTGCTAGTCAATTTGTATTGAATATCATCACAACCTTTTAATACATCAATCATTATTTTGGATGGGTAATTCTAACCTTCATGCTAACTTTATTTACATCTGTATGGACCAGTCAAACCAAGTTCTCTTTCCATCATAAATGGAATTTTTTTCTTCTAAGGAAATCAATGATGATGTTTTGTGAGAGAAAATTGAACTCTGGCTGAGAACGCTGTTGAATGGTTTGATATAATATTGATAATAAAAGGAGGCCAAGCTTGGTTATGAACTTATGACTGAAAATTGGAGTCAGGCAACCTGGGTCTGATTAAGTCTTGCCATGGTGAACTGCGTCAACTAATCTAATGTCAAGTTTCATATCTCTTCATTTCTATGCTAAGTGAGTTATGGTAGGAGCTGTGTTCAATGTATGAATATAACTCAATTTACATTCTCTCTTTTCTCCTCATTTTCATCTTTCAGAACTGTAGCTACAATTGTTTTTATTAGATTATCATGAAAGATAAGGAGGGTAAAATGGCACAAAGGTCTCTTGAATATAGTACATGTATTCTTTCTTGGTTTCTTCATATCAACTTTCATGCCAATTTGTTAAGGCTTTTATTTCAAGCTCAATTTCTTTGATCATGCTTGATTTTTCAATTGTCCCAAAGTGTAAATTTGTCGATGTTTGTTCGACTGAAAATCAGTGGTATATGTAGAAAATATTAGTTATTTTGATTCAAAGAATTTTTTGATTATTTATAGTGGATATCAATACTAGTAAAACCAACCTTTGAAATGAGGACTGAATAAGATGGTTAAGTTTACACCAAGATCAATTTCATTACCCATGCTGGTTGTTTAAGAAAAATGAAATGAATTGAACCTCGTAAGGAACTTGTCTTTTATGATACAAACACTGAAATGTCTTCATGTACACCAATCTGGTTGTAGGATATAAAATAGATGAGGGTGTATTCAACATTCACAATGAGTTCGCGTTTTATGGCCAAAACTTGTCACTATGTCAATGAATAGAAAAGCTAGAGATTGGGTAGAGAAGAAATTGGTTAGATTACCATAAAAACATTTTCATGTCTGATACAAGATTTGTGAGAATTTGATGTGAATCGTTGTGTATGACTATATTGCCCTTCACTGTTGAAGATTGTCATATTGATAGGTTTAGATAATGAAAACACGAGAGGCTATGATCTTCAATTTCACAAGTTATGTCAATCGAAGGCAAGTCAGAATAGCAATTAGATGAAGGGTTAAAGTTGACTGCCTTTCCTTAATTCCCCATCACCTCAAACGACCAAGGATTTATTGCCGAGATATGCTACGAGGAATATTATGTTCACAAATCTATTGAGTACTGACAGAATGAGCAATATTGGTTATGACCTCGGAATATGAGGGCACCACCCTTCTGGCAGTTATGGCCTGGCTTTTATGACTGACTGCCCTGATATTTCATAGAAGATTTTTCCAATAATCCCTCCACAAACGAAGGTCTTTAATTTTCTCGACATTGAACGTCTATGTCAAGAGAGAAGGAGATCTGATAATGAATTTTCATGGCTGGCTTATTCTTCAATATCTTTGTACTAACAACTTGGATGTGATGAATTACATTATTGAAGATGTCTAATACTCTTGTAAATATCTGCTGAACCAAAAGGCAAAAAATGTGAATATTAGATTTGGAATCTTTGATAGTTGGAGGGTTAAAGAAAGTGGAAGATGAAATATGAAATAACACATCACTCATATCTTTCTGTATAAAATCATCTGAAGTTAGATCTGTTTATCAGTCTCTCTCATATAGATTATCAATGATAGCCAGTGGAGGGTGGGTTGGAATCATAGGCTCTGAGGCTGATGTATTTAATTGGGTGTATAGCCAACCCCAAATTTTGATATTAACTGCAAGAAACTTCCTATACAATCGTTATCAAAAACTCATAAGATACAAAGAATCTGTATGTAATCTACATTGACCGAGAATTCCAGTAATAAAATACTTTTACTGTTAAAATAGTACTCAATATATCAAATGGGATGAATAGCCATTCTAAGTTTGGATAATAACTGTTAGGGCACAAATTGAACTTTCTAAATCTTCCCTGTTAAGAACCAAATTAGTGACACTACTAAAAAAAAATCCAAAACAATACTTTAGACTTTATTTCACAATTTTACTTTGCTCGAAAAAAGTTGTACTGCCTTCAGATCTTTAATGGAAATTGGTCAAATTCGACACTTGATTGCTTACAAGATATCCATTCAATTTGATATTTAAAAATGTACTATATATTTTCAGATGACGATAAAATCTACAGTTGGGGTAATAACAGTAGTGGGCAGTAAGTATATATTATCTTTTATATAAAAACAAAGTTTCCCTGAATCTCTTTACGATCAGGCTAATTAAAAAAAATGTTGAATTGATTGTGGACCAAAAATGTATTGTTTTATTTGTAAGAAAAATTTAGAACTAGTCTGACCACCTGCAAGCCGTTGCATTTGGCGAATGTCATTCAATTTAAAGTAAACATCCAAGTTGTTAATGTGTTTTAATTGGATGATTAAAGAACTGAAGAAATTCTTTACATGCACTTACACCAGTTGCTTATAGCTGCGAATATTGAATGTGGTCGTGAGTACTAAATGCAACTTTGAAACTTACTCTTATTCACAAACATATGCAACTGGTGATCACTATGGTTCGAGGGCCACTTCAGTTGGTTGTATCTTTGGTCAGAGATAAAGGAAGTAATGGCATGGTACTCCTTGAATTTGTCATTTCTTTGTCCCTTTGGTTTTATGTATCTTTTCTTCTTGTCATCAGAACTAACATTTAGAAAAAAATCTAATGAAAAAAAAAATTAATTATTCCCTTGATTAGGTTTTATGATATTTTATGTAATGACTAATTATGATGAGGGTTTTTCTGTTTAATTAATTCTACAGCAGTTCAGAGAAACGAAAGGATTTCAAATTTTCTTTTCTACCAAGCCAGACAAATAATACCATATGATGTATAAACTTGACTGATTCCATTATTAGCACCGTGCCTAGTGTGAAGATAAAAAGAGATAAATACTGTTTGATTTTCTCCCAAAATGGCATATTTAATTATTGCATTTAACACAATGTTTCCAAAAACGAGCAAATTAACCACGAAAAGCAAGCTGATTGTTTGAAGAAAATTGACAAGAGAACAGTGCCAGAGAAACCACAAGAATTGTTGACTAACTTCTTGAGTGACATTTATTTAATTCATTAATACCGTTTGATGAAAAAAGAATGCAAGTGGAAAGGAGTGGATCATTCAAGCGTTTCAAAGAAAATTAGCAGTGAGCAGGAACAAAGACCCTTTCACACATAATGTTAAAGAAAAAACTAAAGGGTAAATCCCTGATGATTATGTGGGCTAAAGATGACAGTAAAAAGTTGAGATTAATATATAAACAGTTGGTAGGATAGGGTAAGCCACATTAACACCAAACTTTACACCAAATTACTTGATAGGGTTCAAATTTCTTTTGATTATGTTGAAACAAGCTATGCATGGCAAACATAAAGAACATTAAAAGTTAACAAGTTTAAAAAAGGATGTTTCCAAGGTTATCAGACTTTTACATGCTGATGGAGATTAGACCCAGATAACTATTTTTTTTATGTACCTTAGCTGGATGTCAGAAGTCAAATACTCTAACAGCTTTAGCTACAGTCTGTCCTATGGTGCTCCAAGAGAGTAGGCAGCTCTCTACCATCATGCAATATGAGGCTTCTTGATAACATTTGGTTTCAGTTTTGATTTGAATGCAATGTTACAAAGATAAAGATAATATGCTCCAAGAAAATATGGGGAATAAAGATTGTAAGAATACATACATTGATATCTAAACAGTAATCTTTCCAAGGTCTGTAAATAAACGGAAACAATAGAAGGTCAAATTCAGATGAGAACTGTAGAAAATCAATAGTCAATTCAAAACATAACACTACTTTTATTACTGGCAACTGAAATAGATCATTTGTGTCAATTCTTGATCAAAGCTCACTAATCTTTCTGGCAAAGGTTACAACCTCGACATACCACAATCAGACTTCTTATGGTTTTTCTGGCATGGGTTAACAGTGTAATAAGAAGATGTCTATATGAGATAGCTGGCAATGTTGGAACAATAATTAACCGACCATGTTCACTTTGATTACTCTGATGATCTTTAACCCTAAAGTTGCTGAGCAGGCCACCCTCTTCTCTGTTTTCTATTCAAGAAGAATTTGTTGAACATGAATAGAGATTAAAGGTCCAATTACAGCAATGATTGCTTCATCTTTATCTCTCAAATATAGTCAACTTCTGACATCTTCAGCTTTTGTATCTTTATTACAAGAGAGTTCAGATTGCATAAATGAGAAAAAATGTATTTGATATGACTTAGTGGATGAAATGAGAAGTTCAAATCAGTCTTTGTGAACAGCTGAGTATCATAATTACATCTCTGACCAAATTGGGTTTTGTCTTGGCTTTTTTTGTATGATGAATTATCTGTGATATGGTGTAAAGATAGCTCATCTGATAAGCCAACTGAAATTAAAGATCAATTTATTTTTTAAAATCTCATACTTCTTGCATTTGAAACGATTCATGAAAGGAAAGAATTTGGTCCAAAATTGTCTCAGTTCTAATAGGAAAATGTGGTTATTGTCCTACGCCTATTTGTTAGCCAGTCCTATTATCAATTCATCTTGGCATTGTATTGATATTTGGCATGTCACAATCTCTGAAGTCAAGTAAATGTTTTTGAATACTATAACTTCAATGAAGATATTTTCCTTTTCATGTGTTCATATTCAAGGCTTATCCAATATCTCACCAGGAGCTGTTATAGCCATGACTAATATTTCCAAATATCTAACTTAATTAGCATTGGCATTCTGGCTCTCGTTAAAAACTTTTTTATGAAATGAAAAATTATTTCTATTGAGTGCAATTTCAATATTTTGATGTTGTTAACCCATAAAATTGTGATGGAAGTAGCAAGAGAGATTGGTAATCTAATAAAAATACAGCAAGTGTAGAAGAGAAAAAATATAAAAGGCCATGTGGTTGATGCTGTGAAATGGTCTGTAAGGGCTGGGTAATTTGACATGTGAGGTTTGATTCTAGTACAGAGATCATTCTTAATTAACCCAATGCAGTTTTCATATGACTTGATGGTTAATTTGATTCCCCTAGGTCTCTAGATAGGCTCATAAACTATTTTCTACTCCCTTTCTCATCATTCTATTTCCACTTGGCTGCATTTGAAATATAGTTACTTCTGGTGAAGATTGACAAAATGAGAGACAAACAACATTGGAAGCTGTCCTCTGGGCACCCTTTCTACCCAATAACAAATAACTTTGACTTGATATCTTTCACAAGTCTACCATTGTGGTTCTGATTTAGTAGGCAGAGTGTAGAAGTTCATATAAAATTCAATTATGATAATTTTGATTACTGTTTGATTAATTGAAAGAGGAGCATGTTTTGGTTAAGGTTGAAATAGATTTCAGTTTCAATCATTTCTATTGTATATCTAATTTAAACCTTTTTCTATAGACTGATAACGGTTTAGGTTTGACAAAAATTTCTGATGCTACTGTCACTGTGCCGACTTGCTGACTTGTAATTCCATGCAATATGATATGTAATGTAAAATATGCTTTATATGATAACATGTATTATATACTGGCAATTTGTTTTTGTGCAATATATAGTTGTTAATGCTACCTTTATTTTATTCCAGACTTGGTATTGGTAGTACCCAGTCATCTTTTAGACCAGTTCAGGTTCATTTACAGGTAGGTAGATTGCTACAGAATAACCATAACGAAGTAAAGATTGTTAAATTCATAGCTAATTTTGGAGTTGAAGTTGAATTGCCTCTGAATTTAACTTGGTTGTTGCATTAGAATTACAAACATTTTTTGTGCCATAGCAACTGCTGTAATAGTTTGAAAATAAAAAAGCTGATAAATGTGAGCAAAAGCCTATTTATTTTCAAACTTAAATTCCTACAGAAAAACTGAACTTGTTTACGCATAATGTATGATTATGACTGACTATTTTTCCAGATAGATGATCCTATAGCAGGACTGAGCTGTGGTTACAGACACACCATGATTTGGTGTGATTCTGGCCGTGTTTATAGTTTTGGAAACAATTTCTTTGCCCAACTTGGATATGATTTTGAGGATGAAAGATACAAAGAAAATCAGGTAAAATAATTCAATCTTTGGAAAATAATGATTCATTTAAAGCTGAACTTTCATGCATGCTTCTTCTATTGCTAGTATTTCCAGGTATATAACGATTTCAATGTGATAAATATGTTATTTAATTCTAAAAAATCTTTTTATTATTTAGCTCTATCCTCATCTAATGATGTTTATGTCTCATCAAACAGTGAAACAAGTATCTTGTGGTGATAAACATTCGTTATTTCTGCTGGACAATGGATCAGTTACAGTTTTAGGGTGAGTTCATTCAATACTATGTACATCATGGACAATATATAAGTAGTATGCTCATTTCTGATATATATTACAATATATACAGGCATAGGAATTTATATCTTAGTATTATTGCCTGATAAGAAAGTACAGAAATGTTGCCATATATGGTAGTTACCATGATATATCTTCAAATTTTTAACAAGTAAAATCTATACTTAATAAGTATTGCGATACATACCCATATGGCGATTCATTAATGCTTAATATTGTGATATCCACTTGAACCAATATTGCCCAGCCCTAGCCTGTAATTGGGCTGTTATTTCATGTTGAAATTATTAAGCTCTTGTTGAGATTCCAGTCAAAATCAATCTGTAATAAAAAATATGGTACTTGAAACATGGATTTTCGAATAACTCACTTCCTATTTAAATTTTCAGTTCTAATACAAATGGACAGCTGGGAACTGGTGATAATTTAGAAGCTGTGGTACCTAGATTGTTAGATCTTCAAGACAATGTTAAATCTATTTCATCTGGTGCTAATCATAATTTAGCTATTACAGGTAGGATATCCAACAGCTTTTTAGCTTCATACTGACTTTTCAACGAGGATTAGGAAAAATTAAAAAAAATCTTGTATAATTAGATTCAAAGATTAAATATGAATACCATATAGCTCCCATTACTACATTACCAGCAAATGTAAGCTAATCATTCCTGGAGAATGAATACAAAGGTTTCTTTAAATTGAGAATGTTCAAATCTGGAAATATGTCTTCTCTTTAGATTATAATAAACCAGCTTTTATGTTGAAAGTAGCAAACTTCCATCTGCTCATTGCATTATCATTTTTTTTTTTATGAATGTGCAAAGTAGTTTTGATGCATTTACACTCTTTAGTCTCTACACTACTATTAAATGCAATCAGTTTTGGCAACTTGCTGTTAAAGCAATTATTGAAAAAACTTATTCAGTAAATCTGCAAATTATAAATTCTATATGAATGACATATGTTGATACAAAATTCTGTGTCCCTTCTAACTCTTAAAACACAATATCACTAATACTGTAAAAAAAAAAAAAAAAAAAAAATAGTGTAATACCATAAAGATTGAGTTACTTCCCTTGTACTGTAAACAAGAAAGCTATTCAAACTGATCAATATAGTTATGGGTTGTATGAGTAGAACTGTCAGTATTAAATGCTTTTAACGAGGCAGCGAGTTAACTGAAAACACAGTTCTGTAGATTCGCCTTCTGTGGTTATGATTGGAATAGTGCTTTTGCAGATGGGTTATTGAAATAATCTGTCCATTTTCTGCAAATTTGTCTAAAAATGAACAAAAGAAAAGACTTAATCCACATTACTTTAATAAAATTAATTAATGAAATTGTTAAGCAATTGCAGAACAGTATAGAAAACATTTTCATAAAATAATTCAAATAATTCGAATTCTATATCTTTTGCTTTAAATAGATTCTTTTTGAATGGATGAAAATGCTGAAATTTCTTCAGTTCTTTCATAGTTCTCAGTCATTTGCTACAAGTGTACAAGAGGCATTCAATATCCATCAATTGATTTAATCTAAATTCTTATAAAATTTATTATATTTTCATGTAGCATTGTATAATTATGAAGTGTATTTCTCCATTTCTTGAGGTTTAACACTAAAAGGATTGTAATCTATAATGTAAAATATAAAATGAAGTGAAAATGAAGTAAAAGCAAGCCTTGGGCAATTCTTAGACAAAAAATATTGTATGATAAGAGTTTATTCTGAGTTGATGTGAGAGACAAAAGAAAACCAATAGCTGACTGTATTGAGGATTGACAAGAGATTACATAAACCGAAGGTTGTCTTCAGTTGCTTTATAGACCTAATCAATGGTAGAATGATTAAACCTTTATTTCTAATGTTTACCAAGTTCTACCTGCTCCTAATTATAGTTTATTTTCACCTGATAATAGCTACCTTTAACAAGGAGTCAGTGAGTTGAGTATATTGGCATGGCCTTTGGTAATTTGAGAGAAAAAATGAGGTTTCAATAGCGTTAAAAGGGAAGTTTTTGTTCTAGTGAAGTGGGCAGCCGGCTTGTGGAATTGATTTTAGATAATGTTGACTGTATTTCCCCTTAGGATAGAATGGCTAATAGACTAGGTGTTAACTTTTATAGAAAACACTTGTTCTCTTCTCCTTCTTATACCAAATACCTTTTATATTTTTACAGTGTTTTAGGTCAAAATATGTCAATATGACTTTTTCTTGTGTAAGTGTAAACAGTAAACTGATAGGTACTCTCTAGTTTAGTTCATGGTTTTAAAAGCACATTTACTGAACTTTTCTTTTGGTTTTTGTATTGAAAATGCTTAAAAAATAAATCCAAATCACTTAAGATTTAGTCTGTATAAATAATATCTTATGTATTTAACATGGATACATAGTGCGATTTTCTGTTCAGTCAAATTTCTTTAAAGTTGGAGTATGCACCTATTTAGAGATAAAACTAAATGTTACAGTGAAAATTTTTTGAAACAGTTTAATGTTAAAACCAAAATTCATTTCTAAATATTTATATAAATTGATTGGCCATTGGGAGACAGGACTTGGTCATAATTCCTGGCAAGCATTCCTCCTTTATATACATTCCTGTTATTCCTTCAAATGATTTTTGACAATGTTTGACTTTCCTTTAATTTTTCACTACCTATAAAAAGCACAATTTGTAATTTCTTCTGTATTTTAAAAGGTTTTTTTCTGTTGAAAACCAATCCTAGTGTCCAACGTGAGGCTGATATTGGCTAAAGTCACTGGTATGTAAATGCCTTCAGTTTGGGGAATTATTTAGCTGATTTTAATATTGACTACATGTCATAGGCTATTAATGATAGTTTTTGCCTGCTTTTCATTTGTTGTCAATTTTGATAATTGAGGTCCCATTATATTTGATAGAATAAATATATTTGTTTTAGCTCAAAGGATTGTATAAGATTTTAGTTTTAGCTAATAAATTCAGGGCAGAGAATTCAATATTCTGATAATTAGAATTTTACTTTGGTGAACTTAATTGTCAGCTGCTATAAAATATTGAATATTCATTAACCAAGTATCTGAATTGAATAGACCCATTTGCTTTTAGTATCAACACCAATGCAATTTATTGTTATATAGATACTAATATGTATTAAACACTCAAAATATAATCTGCTTAAGTCTGAGTTTCTAGAGCACAAATACACCCCTTTTCATGGGCAGCTACACTTACAGATGTAAGTAAAGTTGCCTTTGCAAAAGGTTATGTCACTCTTCTTATGATCTTATATTGGCTACTTTAGAAGTGACCATCTACCTAAAGATATTGGAATTTTCTGGACTGCTTCTAAAAGTGTATTTGGCAAGATAGGTTCTTGAATTCTGAATTTTTGCAAAAGTTGTCCGTGTCAGTGGCAAAGGTCAGACAATATCCAAAGCCCAGTAAACTACAGATATTTCATGCTTAAGATGCTTAAGCAGTTAAAAATCTAAAATATGAGTTTGCACTGTTTGTCCACCATTTTGATCTAATGCCGTGGAATGCATCATTCTTGTTTCAACCTGCCTAAATCCTAAACATTCAAAGACTTTTGATGCTGAAGTTTTTATTGATCAAGTCAAGTTTTGAAAGGCTGTTAAGTAGTCATCTTTGTTGTAGAATTATTTCAGTGTACTCATTATTTTCTATGTTTTTTACTACTCTATAGTATTGAAGGGTGGAAATGTGTGATCAATTAATGCTTTCAGTTCTCTAAACCTCACTTGTTCCTGACACGAAACAACTTGTATCTTTAATTGCCTGCTAATTCTGATGTATTGATGATGTGATTATCTGTGGATAGAAACAAATACTAAATCACTGAACCTCTAGTTGCTCGGCTGACCAAAGAGTTAAAGCTGATATCAAAAGGTGATTACTGATGTATTGATTAGAGTAAAAATCAGTCTACCTTTATAACTTATTGAACTACTAGCGATTCAAACTGGCTCTATTCTCTGCTATTGTTTTTGTTAAGTAGTGTAAATGGCTAAGGGCTGTGAAATAACCAATAAAATTAACTAGCTATTGAAAGCAGTCATTTTCTTCTTGTTCATTTCAACACAATTTACTCTTTGGTCTTTTTTGAGTGAAGAATGGAACTGAAATGAGGTGATTATTGCTAGGTAGTTCACGTAAAATCAACATAACTGATTTCCTGATTTTTCTAAACACTATTTGTTTGTTGATCAATTAGTGTCCGTATTGACCTGGTGTGTTTTAGAAGCGATCTGCGTCAATAAACTGCAATGCTATCTCTCTCATTATAACACCTTTATATGGAACAAATATTGTAAGTGGATTTTGAGGTTAACAAGTCCATGATTTATTGAAGCCCTCAGGATATCATTTCAATTGTAATCGAACAATATCACACAGATCGAAGCAAATCAGTTCAGCTAATTCACAGCTCATTCATTTCACCGTTTACATTTTCAAAAAATTCAATTTCCCTCCTAGTTCCTTTATTGAAATTAATTGGCAGAAAAATATCTTCTGGCAATGGAAACTTGGAACAATTTGAAAAAGTCAACACTGAGTCCATTAGTGCAAATTAGGAAACATTTCAGCAAATATAGTTAGATATACAAATTGAATAAGTGAGATTGTGATGTAAGTGTTTGCTTTTATCCACTAATAGTTTGCTACTTAAAATATGGTTTTCTTTCATTGACACATGCTAATTTTCTCTCTGTATGACCTTGGAATTATCATGATTTGATCAAGAAAATTAGCTTGGATTTACATTTTTTTGTATGTTTGAAAAGTGGTAGGAAATTCTTATTTGGAAATATTGGAAACTTGGGAGAAAGCCATAAACACATGTGTTGAACACAGCATAACTTGCCAAACCACTTCTTGATTTAGGCATAGCTATAGATCATCCCCCAAGTGGGGTCTCCCATTAAAAACAAGTACAGTCTGATGTAAACTCTGCAGTAACAATCTTCTCATGGAACATTGGCATTCTGTAGAGTACTGCTGACTGGAATATTCAACCTGTTCTCAATCTGCTCTGACTAAATGTGATGTTGATATTTGATGATTGGGGGTATTATGATAAGTTTGTTTAGTCTATCTGGTATATATACAATAACTCTGTAATAAATGATGATAGAAAAATACTTATCAGATCTTCCATCAACATCTACAGCAGTGATTTACACCTATTGGTTTACCATAAGACCCAGCTTGTGGGATTTATACTGAAAATGAACTACTGGTAGGAAGCAATCCAAAAATTTGCTTTAGAATTTGTCATTATATAATACAAATGTGATTGAACATTTTTTCCACCTGCCAAAAAAACTTTAAAATGTCCTATCATTGTCAGAGATGTGTTAATGCTACCTTAAAGCCTTTTAAAACAATTGTCCAAAAAAAGCATCCTTTTCTATGACATAAAGCTGACCTGGGCTATTTGTTTGACTTTAATTTGCTAGACAAGGCAGCTTCTATACTTTGTTCACATACTGGGTATCCATATATATTTATTAAAATATGTATGTGTAATGCATTCTATGGTGCTTAAAAAATATGGTTCTGTACCATCCACAATTGAGGCAGCAGTAATAGAATGTATGTCAAGCTTGATGTTCTGAGTGTGTTACTGTGTTAAGTAAGGTGTTAAACTATTATGTTGTAAGGTGTTAAGGTATTATGTCTGAATGGTCAACTCTTACCTAAGGCAAATATTAGTATAACCTTAGTAAAGGAGGTATTAAGTAATTTGACTAAAATAGTCTGATAGTGGTAATTACATGTAATATATACCAATAAGATGTAATCTTTCACAGTATTATGTAATTAGACTTAATATTACCTTTAATAGGTCAGTTTAGGACACAGTCTGACCCTGACTGACCATCGTGTTATGTCATTTATACCTATTTGTTGAGTTACACCAGATTTGGAATAGATTTTATGTGTAACTAGTACAGTTCTAGCAGTCTGAAATAAGATAATGGTTGAGAATATATTTACTTGGACAAATAGTCTTCTCATACTTTTTAATTGTTTTAAATGTGTATAAGTTTTAAAGGAATTTATGGAAGGCTTTTGCTTTGATTTGAAATTTATCTTGGTAAGGGGATTCAAATTCTTCAAGCCGTTGGGTAACTTCTGTAAAAAAGATCACAATAAAGCGAAGAAGAGATAAAAACAGCACAATGTCTAACTTGTCGCTCTTACTTCATTGACAAGATGATATTTTAGAAATAATTCTGTGGTGTATGGTTTGAAAATGATAAATTATTGAAGACAGTAAATGTTGTGTTTATGTTAAAAGAAACCTGTGATATCTCAGTAAGAAAGTGAAGTTTGTAGTTGATTTTTAGAGAGGTATACATTTCACTTGTTATGTCAATAGTTGGAGTAGATAGGGTTATGCACAATGGGGTTAATAGCAGTATATAGAAAATGTCAAGGACAGGTTCATCGGGGTAAAAAAACAGGAATATTTTAATAGTATAACATGATCTCTACTCTCAAACACATCTGGAATTCAATCAATTTCTTATGTTACTTAATATGACATATGTATACTTTATAGTATATTTGTTTTAACAGCATACACAAGACTATTTAATATTAAGTCTATGAAATTCTAACATATTGCACTCCACTTTGTTGTAAATTTTATATTGAGAAATAGAAAGCTTAGGACATAATTGATTTTTTCATGCAATTCTGCCTGATCCATATATATATTCAAGGATAATCCATTCTCCTTAATTAATTTTTTGCATATCAGGCTGGAAAGTGTACTACTGCTACAATTTACCAGGTTTTTTAGTTCTGATAGTTACTTGCTGAAGATCAGAATTCAGATTTCTGTAATGTCTTTGACTATCTTTAGAAAATATTAAAATGTTACCCCCTGGCCTGACCAAACTGGAAGATGAAAGGATGTCTAACTGTATGACACTGATGTATGACTGATTAGTAAAAGTACCAACAATACTACAATATTTATGTAAGTTATTGAATTAGTCCAGCAGGTGAAAGTTGACTGGTAATCAGAGGTTTGTAAGACTGTGGGAAGAATAACAAGGTGTATTCTGTGAGAATATTGTGAAATGATTAGTAATGGATTATATCTGGCTGATATTGATGTGTCAGACTGATAGTGATCTGGTCACCATTCCTATCTCCTTACTTCTCATCTATAATCCAAACAATCTCCATTACTAATACTATTTGTATTATCAATAGTGGACATTACTAATGGTCAGTACAATGGCTGAGTGTCTACCCGGTTATTATGACCAGTATGGTTTGACCAGTCAAATAATCAGGTAGTCAACCAGTCAGTGTAAATTATGCATGTAACAGTGCAGGTGATTACTGCCAAGATTTGAAGATGACAGAAGATTTGTAAAATGACACAATGTATAAAGATTGGGGAGTAATAAGAGTTAAGATACAGTGATTATTATATTATATGAAATCTTCAACCACCTGTATTTTATACCTCATGATTGATAGGTGACATTTTATTATCTCATATCACTGTGGGTAACCATCAAGAATTACTATTACCTCACCCCTCTTCTTCTGTGTGAGGACTAAAAAAAAAATCAGAAAGTGAAACTGTGTTAGTGACACTTTGATCAACTTGGTGTTATGTCCTTTTAAAAATGTTACAGCTTCAAAATTGTATAATAGGAAATTGATTTTTTAATTAGAGATCTTGAATTGAATTAATGTTTTATAAAACCTGTAACCCTTGCATTATTATGAATTTCTTATATCTGAGGGCTTATTCCTTTGGACATAATTTCCAGATATATGTATTAATCATTCTTCTGCAAGTCTCAGAAATTTGGTGAAAAGTAATAAATAAAGCAGTAAATGTTTTTAACGACATGCCTGTTTACACGAATTTTAATTCTATTTGTTGGATGTCAAATTCTATTTGTTGGATGTCAGAAGTGCTAGGTTAGTGGTCATTTTATGTCTGTTTTATTTAGGTAAATTGTCACTGGTTTAAACACACCAGATTTCAATCTTTTCTCAAAATATTTATTGTTAGTTACTAGTGTCAGCTTTATTTCTTACTTTAAGTGAATCTGAGAAGGATTTTAATTAATTGTGAAAGTTTTATTATGTACAATTTGGAACTGGAGAAGATGTCACCCCCCTTCTTCTGACCCCCTTGACCTGTTAGATGAGGAAATGACCTCTGATTTCATCAGGTCAAACTCCCAGGCTCACACAGATTCCCACGAGTTGGTTAATGTGGTCAAGTTTTAAGGATAATTGTAGTAAAATAACACAAGCCCCTTGTTGATTTTCAACTATTCAAGGTGTAGTTTTAATGAATTTGAGAGGGCTGATACTTTTAAAAGGACTTCTTCAGAGTATCTTGCCATTTGATTAGACAATAGATATGACTCAAGTCACATCTTGGAACATTAGTGACTTGATCATTGGCGGTAATTTTAGGGGTATATTTGTTATAGGTGACGACAAAACACTGGTATTTTTGAGTTCTGTAAATTCAAATGATAATTTATACAGATGTAATTGCAATAGTGTGTTTCTGCATTTTGTGCATTAAAATTTAAATTGAATTATCGATTGTAATGGGTTGTACTTAGGATTTTAAAGTTGAACTGTTTGAAATCATTTGACATTTATAAATTTCATATCATTCTTTGAAAAACTTTACCAATTGGCCTAGGCAATTAGAAAAAAAGTCAGAGCAAATCTAACTTAGAAACATCTGAAAAGGTTAATTTGGTCATGTTGGCAATTATTTGCGTTCTTATTGGAATCTGGAACATTGATCAACCAAAAAATATGAACTAAATTAGAAAAATTAAGTCTTCTGAGGTGAAAAAGTTAATGTAGTTTCTTATAAGCTAGGGAGTTGCATTGTTTGATATTTTGTTTTAATTTATCCACACACAGCCAAATAAAATGTTTGAGATCATTGGGAAATTAATCTTGGTGTCTGGCTTCAATCTATTATGATAAGAGACATGAGAGAGGCTGGTGTTTCTTTACAGTTATTTATAAAAGGTAGTAAATATGAGAGAAATGCTAACATTAGTGTAAGGGCCATCACCTACAATACTTGATGGACCATGAACAAGTTAACAATGACTTGAGAGGCAGATTCTTTTATTAGTCGATCATTACTATTCTACTAATGTCAAAGATTTAACAATCACTTTTTAAGTACTGCACATTGTCATCACAGTCTAAATGGTCTGTTCAACTTACAATAGGCATTCACAAACTTCACATCAGTTTTATCCGAGTGCAAAACAGTCCTGGAAAAATACAAGACTTAACAATGTTTCATGTGTTAAAATTTGAATTTCATTCAATGGATAAAAGATGATATCCAAACTAGTTTCTCTCCTGGTCATAAGTTATATGAATAATCTATATAATTTGTATTAATATATCCAATTAAAGTTAAGCATTAGTATAATCCTTGTATATTTTTGCAAATCTGTCTATGTAGATACTTTGTGGTCTAGATACTTTTGAAGCATCCCAATAACAAAATCCAAGAGATCTTTTATTAGATTGAATTACTGTTATTCAACAGAAATTGATATTTTGATAAAAAATCTATTTTCAGAATCCGGTAGTGTTTTAATGTGGGGTTATTGTAAAGCCTTGGGCAGAAAATATGATATTTTAACCCCTGAAGTGGCTGATATACCATATCCTGTAATACAAGTAGCTGGTGGTTCTAGCCATAGTATGGCACTTACAGGTAAGGATTGTCCTGCACCGAGAAGCACTATCTGCATTTGTAGTGAGCTGTCCACGCAAGGCCCAACAGGACATCTATTTTTGCCAATTTAGATTTGTCTTTCAATATTTCATGAATACTATTATGAAGTGACAGTCTTCATGCAAGATAATTCATTTTGAACTTTCTAGTCAGACTTCAATAAATACAATGCAGTTGTGGATTTTGTGCTTGCATACCTTTTTATTTATTCAAATTATATTGTGATGTAGATATGTCACCCTGACTTTTCACAGACAGTGACTATGCATAACATTTTTTGTTTGCACTACAAAAAGCATAATGCATACTATAAATTACTGAATATTGATGGTGTACAAATGTCAAAAATTCATTCATAGTGTATTGGTCATGGCAGTATGAATAATGGATAGATGTGTTTATTATTATAAGAAGTACAGTGTCTCCACCAAATGTATCACCAACACAGATCAGATTTCTTTCAATCTCTTCTGGCTGTGTAGCACAATCACACTTTTTCTATTAAAATCATCAGTTTGCGATAAAGCTTTTATCTTAAATTAATATTTTCATTCTGGCTGGCAAAACTCAGATCAGTTTTCCTCTAATAAAGGTCATTGATATTTTGTTAAGACTGTCAGTGGTGAATACAGAGTGTTAATAATTTCAAGCTAGCAGTGTAACATATTAAAGCTGACACAAGACAAGGTGTACAATGTGGTATCAATATGATTGTAATCATTGTAAACTATGTAGAATTATCAATTAGACTATTATTTCGAGATCCTATTACTGCAACTTGTCAACTTCATTTTATAATCATTATGATATTTCTATCGCTTAAAAGTAATAATATACAGACAACTGTGAAAAATATGCCTTCAAAAATCAATATTTCTTTTTGGAAAAAAGGGAATGGAATGCAACAAAAGATCAGATTAATAGGTGGCTTGAGACTTTTTAAGAAACAACATGGCTATGTCCAGACAAATATTGTTAAGTATAGTTCATCAATGCAGATTTTGTCACATTTATTATCCATGTAACACTGATTAAGAATTCAATGTGGATCATGGATTTAGACACATACTTGAAAACTCAGAAACTAGAACAGTACCTTTAACTTCTTTTTTGATTTGAAGCATGTAAAATACAGAGTTGAGATTCTGGTGAGAAGCCTAATGAGTGAAAAGATAAAATGTTAAAGAAATTGTGATTTATTATTTGACACATTTTATACACCCCAAATGTTTAGAATTTTATCTGCAGGATGGCCTTTATCTTGAAAACTGGTCGTAGACATGTTAAGTTGAATCAGTTTCTGGTTGGACCAATTAGTATTATCTGATAAACTTAATTAGCATAGAACATTATCACTAACTTTCTAACATGTCGTCTTTCTAGTCTTTATTACCTAGTATCTTCTTCTCTCTAATTAAATAGAAAATTTCTTCATAAAGCAATTTTAATGATCTATCTCACAATTAAAACCAGTAAGAATTTTCAATCAGCTGTTTTATGGTCTCTGCATTATATTTTTAAAATTTAAGAACTTGCATGTTTTGATATCATAAGATATCCAGTATCAACTGCCTGTATCATTAGTTATTCCTAATCACTTTTGTCTTGATTATAAACTTTGGAAAATCTGAGTTTACTTACAGACTTTCAAACTGTTTTTTGTCCTAAAAATGCTAACAATGATCAATAAAAAAAAGTGCTTCTTCAGCTACCACTAGTTAATTGATTTTTAAGTATATTTCATGTACAAGTATATTTATAAAATTATTCAATACCGAACTTTGGTCTGCAAATTGGCATGTCTCAATAAATTCGAAATATAACTGAAGGGTTTTGATTATTAGGGAAAGACTGTTGGGTTGTTGAGATTAGTTTCTGGGCTTGGTTGTGGCTAGTAATTGATCACAATTGTTGAGGCCAACATGTAGGAGAACTGTAGCTGGTTTAGAATCGTGGTTGTAGCTCTCGATGATTGACTGGATTTGGTAACCAGGGTACGAATGGATTTCGGTTTATGAAGTAGTCTTGGTTATTCAATTGAGGTTTGATTTTCAGAATTCAAAATGTAACTGAAGGTTTTTGATTACAGTTCTTTCGACTCCAGAATTAACCTTTCCTGTCCGGGATCTGTCTTAATAACTTGTTGCAGTAGAAGTGTAAGATATATTTTTTGAAAATGAGTGCAATCAAAATTGTTGAAGAGAGTTTGTAAATAAAAGGGTTGTCCATTAAGTGAGAGTAAGTAATGTTTTAATATGTTTATTTACTATAAAGTATAATAAAGATATATCATGGTGGTATTTAATATATACATATCTTCTCTTACATTTGTTTATTTCTTACTGCCATTTAGTAAAGGTGAGAATGTCTGACCCCTTGGCGTAAGTTGTCTAATAAATAAACAGCCCTTTGATTCTCTTCTCTCATTTATCTTGTAAGCTGGAAACCATTTGGAGTCTAGAGCCGTGTTAAGTAGTCAGAATGCTGCCAATGGCTAGAATTCTAATAGTCTTCACAGGATAAAAGAATGATGTAAATTTTAGAATAATTAAGTAGAAGACAATCGAATATTAAACACATTCTGATCATTTTAACTTTCATAAGGTCAATAGAATAAAGATTCTTTATTGTTATTCGGTAGATGCATTATGAACCTCAGAGAATTATGTCATGAATTTTAACATAAGTAAATAAAAAAAAAACCTGTTAGTCAATCAAACAATTTCTGATCTGAAAGATTTTTTAAACAGGGAAACATATTTTATCCTTAAGTTTATTGTGTTTCAAATTGGTAGTTATTATACACCAACTGTGAATAGGTATAATAAACTTATCACCTCCTTACAAATAACTAATGTATACATGATATACTTAACTCGCCACTCCTGTGTCCAGTATGTTATTATAATGTATACAAGTGGTCATGAATGGGTTTAGATACATTGATAGTCAGTGACCTATCAAATACTTTAACAGATTGGCTGATAATACTGATATACTGCTAATATACTATAGTACGTATTTAAACTCAGGTCTTTATACACCTTTAAACTATAGCTTAGACCTGATTGAATGGTTGAGTTTGATGACAATTAAACATTATTGAGATTTAAGTAGTGCACATGCATGACGGAACACTCACCCCCTTTTTTTTTTACATTGATAATAGTTAACACCCTATTCAAAAGGAATAGTTGAAATGTAAATGAGAAATAATTGAATTAAATTGTTAAGTTACTGAACCCACCACCATAGGCACAAACTATTATTTTCTAAAGCATATCAATTATTGTAATAGGTAAATAAGTATGGTAAAATAAATCCATTTCAATGCAGGTCATACACTGTTTGAATAGAAATTTAATGCTTTATTTGGTATATGTTATCTCATACATTATATTTGATAATTATTCAATAAAAAGGATATGTTTGATTACGGACTAAAGTAAGTTAATTAATAAGGACTTATTCAATTTACCATTAAGACTACTAGTATGTTTTTGGAGTGTGCATTTCACAAACAGCAGATTGTCCTCATTCCCCCTCCTTCAAGATGAGTCAATGCTACGATATGGATTGGATGTGCCTAGATACCCTAAATTATTGATTCTTAATTAAGTAAAGCTACAGAGTGTGTGAGTGCTATGATCATTGTAGACAGATCTAATAGCTCTCAAGAAACCCAGAAAGGCTACCACTGAACTTATCTTTCAGAAAGGGTGTATATGACATGTGCATTAGTTTTAAAAAGGGATCATTGAATTGATCAGTTTGATATCCAAATGTAAGAGACTGGATGAAATTTTGAGCAGCAACCATGGCACACCCGTGTTTGGTAATACTTTTTAACAACTGATAAAAACCTCATCAAAGACATGTCTGTACCTTGGAAGTTTAATTACGAATTAGGAAATTAAATATTTTAAAAACATTTAGTGATAAAAAATGACTGTACACTCTCACTGAGAATAAAGGTGTGTTTATTTCTTTGCAACTTTTAGAACCTTTTTCTTCTGATGGTGAATGAAGTATCGCTTTGAAGTAAATTGTATTTGTTTATGGAATGAGTAAAAGATTTCTCAGTGGTGTTGTAAATATGTTGGTAGTTTAAACAGCCATGACCAGTTGATCCCTGTTCATTAAAAATAAAAAAGACAGGAATGTGAAGACAAGTTAAAAGAAATACTTCTTACAAGTGTGTCAGGACTTTTTTCAAGTAATAAGAGAAACTGTTGACAGAAGATCAAAGTATTTGTATTGTATATGTCACAGTGTCGAGTTAGCAGGCCAAAGGAGCAGGTCAGAGGCCAAACCACTTCATTCTTATCTACTTGCCAAGGTTATTTCCGAGTGTTGAAGGTGGTCATATTAAGATCTAATACACCTGTCAACTATATTTTTATTTTTCACACCTTTAACAAGCCAGGTGAAAAGTGGACAATTCAATTATAAAAGTCAATTTTTGTAGTTTAAAGGATCTTGATAAGTATTCTCCACAGAATAATACTAATCCAAGATCTTATCATGAAATTAACATTTGTAGTGTTCATTATATTTCACATAGTAAGCATGGTCTAAAGATTATCTAATCCTTGACAATTTGGCACTGAAGAGGTGTGGGTCAGATGGAGACTGCCCAGACTACGGTTGTAAGCTCGTTACTTGTCCAAGGTTTGTCTACTTGTTTGTTAAAGAAGGTATTCACAATGATCAGTTTTAAGTCAGACGGAGAGAATGATACCCACCAAGATTTATATCAATTTATGGATAGTGAGAAGTTTAATACCTATTGTACTACACCACTGACACACCTTAATACAAACAAATCTTTTCTTACTTATTTAGAAATAACTGTTTTTCTGTTCTTAGGAGTTGATGAGAAAGTTTTATTATCACAACAGGCTGTAAAAAAGATTTTAACCTAAAAATCTGATGATTTCCATAAAAGTTACTGAATAAATAAACCAAGTACTAACGAT